AAGCTATCAGATGATAGTGGTGCACATCTTTAATCCCAGCACTTGGGAGGCAGAGACAGGTGGATCTCTGTGAGTTCGAGCCCAACTTGGTCTACAGAGCGAGTTACAGGACAGCCAGGACTACACAGAAAAACCCTGTCTTGAAAAAAAAAACATTGAATGAGCAGAGATTCTGAGGCAGAACCTTTAACACTGTGTGGTGTTTTCATGCGACCATGTAGGATAGTCATGAACTCACTGTGTTGCTCAGAATGACATTGAACTCCAGAAGTAGTTGCTTTTACTTTCAGGAATGCTAGCTATATATTCCCGAGCTATCTTTGACCCCTTGTTTGTTTTTTTTTTTTTTTTGAGGGGGGACTTATGGTTCCTGCATCCTAAGGAATCACTCAACCCTCTAATTTTATTCCATAGTCCTAGTATCTTTTCTTTCAAATGTTTGTGTTACATTTACAGTGTGTGTTTGCACGCCCACATGCTTGGAGGCTAAGGGACAGCTTAAAGCAGTTCTTTGCTCTCACTCTGTTGCTCCTAAGGGTGGAATTCAGGTCATCAGACTCAGGGGCAAAGACACTTACCTTCTTAATGACAAGCCCACATCTTTGCTTCTAGGAGACTCATGTGTGAGGTCAGCCCTTAGGTCTAACACCTTCAGGTCCCAAGACCTCTGGCCCTCAGGGTCAAATCTATCACTAGCCTCCAACCAGTTGAATCTCCACAGCTGAGATTTCTTCAAGTCCTCTACTTTCCTTCTTCTAATTCTTGAGATAAGTTAGACACTTGGTTTATCTGCAGTCCTATACCTCCACTGCCCGCTTTCCAGTCACCTGTAGCATATTAATGAAGGTGTCAGAGGTGGGATGGTGAAGACATTACAGCTCCAGGAGGCGATCTGAAGATCTGGAAGGAAGATGCTAAACAGAAACTCCACCTAAGGAGGGCCGTAATCCAGGTCAGGCAGATTCAGGCAGATCCCAGGTTGGATCAGAATGACAAAAAGCAGTGTGCAGTGTGGGCTTGTAATCCCAATACTCAGGGTACCCAGGTTTGAATTGAGCCTGGGAAACAAAGGGTACTCCAGGACTAATCTGAACTGTCAACAACAATAACACAAGTGGAATTAAGGGAGAGCCTGAGGAAGAATCTCTATTGGCATTTTTGATGAAATGTAACCCAAGACGAGTTAGGTAAGTTAGCATTGGCAAGTGATAGTAATTTTGGTGGGATTTTAGAAGTGATTGCCTATTACTTGTTTTTCATGACTTTGCAGAGGCAACATACATGTTTGAGAGTGAGTAGGAAGTAAGGAAGTGTATGACTAGAGTTTCAGCCAGCTTACTTTGTGAATGGAAGATGTCCTCCTGATATATATACTGTCTTCCAACAGTCAACTACTGTAGGAGGGGAGTCTTCCCAAGTCTGCAAGCTTTGAGTAATGTCAAACATCATAAGAAACAAAATGTAAATTATGTCGAGTGCTTCATACTTGCATACTCAGCACTCATGGGGCTGGGTAGGAGGAATTTCTTTGAGTTCTTGACTAGCCTGGGCCACAATATGAAACCCTGTCCCAGCAAACGTATCAGTGTGTGCAATCCTTTATTGAAATATTTTTACCTTTATTTCCTGTTGGGGGCTGCACACATGCTTAGGGTGGAGACCACAGGACAACTCGAGGAAATTAGTTTTCTCCTTCCACTATGTTAGTCCCAGGAATCGATCTCAGGCACTGAAGCTTTGCAGCAAGCTCCTTTTCCTACAGAGCCGTTTCACTGGAATGCCCATGGATCCTTCAGTAAAGTTGTTACAAGCATAAAGACCTAAGATAGATGGCCAGAATTCATGGGAAACTGCCAGGCATGGTGGTGTGGACTTGTTTTCCTAAGTCTGGGGTGGTAAAATCAGGCAGGTCCCTGTGTCTTTCTAGTCTGCCAGTCTAGTCTTCTTGGCATGTTCCTGGCCAGTGAAAGCCACTGTCTCAAAAAATGTCAATGCCATCTGACTAGTGGTATCTAAAGTTCTCTGGAATGTACACGCAGACACATACACATGTGCATGCCCTCATCACATACATGTGCAAACAAACACATTCACACACAGATATACTGATGCCAGACATGATGGCACATCCCAGTATTCTCAGTTCTCCTGAGGTGGCTGTAGGAGGATCGGTAGTTCTAAGTCAGCTACATAGCCAGTTTGGGAACAATCAGAAGTACATGATAGCATTTTTCAAAAAAAAAAAAGTCTGCTTCAGAAGAGAAATAATCAGAACATAGCCTTCTTATATAGCTAGGATTGAGGCATATGGCAATAATGACAAGGAAGCAGTCCTCTTAGCTTGGTAAAATGATGGTAGGTGCTTCTAGAGTTCACTCAGCTCTGTCTTGCTTTAGGAGTGCAGTGCAAGACCAGTGCAGGCAACCCGAAGTGCCACAACCGGAACAGTGTATTCGCTACAGCTACTGGAGTGTCCTCACAGTGCCAGGGAGTGGGGAGGGGGCACAACACAGCTGACAGAGGACGTGGATCTCAAGGGCTTGATGGATGCCATCTAGCCAAGCTCTTGGTTCAGTGAAAAGCTTTCTCAAAAAAGGAAGTGTGCAGTATATAAAGATAGCAGAAGTTAACCTGTCCTCCACATATACACACATGGGGGAGACCGCCTGCATGCAGACATGCACATATACAACATACGGAGCTACTGAGGAAGACATCCAAAGTCAACAGTTGGGTTCCTGTAGTGCACGCACCTCAAAGTGTTCCACACACACCTTGGTGCATACACACACTACACAAATATGTTGACTCCTGGTCTCCACATAAGAGTATACACAATCACACACACACACACACACACACACACACCACATACATGAAAAAGTTTTACTCAAATTGTTAAAGTGATCTGAATGAAGGGTATCAAACTTTATGTAAAATGAAATAAGAGTTGAGTGTCTCTCGAGACTCTTAGGCCCTTTTCTCTCTTTTCCCTTCAGTTAAATCCTTAATCCCAGCACTTGCAGGTTGAGGAGGAAATTGTTGAGTTTAAGTCCAGTTTACAGAATGAGACCCTGCCTCTAAAAACAATTACCAACCTGCCTTTCTTAGTAAACCCCAACAGAGAGAGGGAGAGAGAGAGAGAGAGAGAGAGAGAGAGAGGAGAGAGAGGAGAGAGAGGGAGAAAGAGAGAGGAGAGAGAGAGAGAAGAGGGAGGGGGAAACTTCAAAGGGAAACATTTTGAAGTACCATAAAGCTAAGATGAATAGCAACAATTTAGTTCCTCAGTTCTTTAGTATTTGGATTTAGTACCTGAAACGCATTTGGAAAAGGCAAGCAAAGTACTGAGCCTATCAATGTCAGCTCATATTTGAGACAGGGTCTCACTACGTAGTGTTGGCTGAACTGGATTACAGACATGCTCCATCACATTGAAAAAACTGTGTGTGTGTGTGTGTGTGTGTGTGTGTGTGTGTGTACACAATTTGAGAGAGGCTCTCACTCTGTATGTAGTGCAGGCTGGCTTGAATTCATGGTAATCCTTCTGCCTCAGCCCCTGAATCCCAGGATTACAGACATAATCTACCTCACCTTTTGCAAATCTCTTATTGTTAAAAGGTCCACGATGGTGAAATTCCAATACTATTCTTTGTAAAGAAGAAAGTGTGGTAATCTTGACAGATGCTGAATCTGAGCAACTGGGACTCTCTTTCCCCTTATTTCCTCCAAGTACTTCAGCTTTTTGCTCCAAATACATAACAGAAATTTTATAATCAACCTACAGTGACAATAATAAGATTGGTAGAATGGGTAGGTATAGGCTTCCTATCTACAAACACAGGACCTAGAATGGTGAGGTGAGCAGTGCGGGCTGTGGCTGGAACACATAAAAAAAAAAAAAGGAAATGTGGAGTTTGAGTTTTGTTGTTTTGAGACTGGATTTAACTATGTAGCACAGCCTGCCTTCAAATTTGTGATCCTCCTGTCTCAGACTCACCTGTACTGGGAATCAAGGGACTTTCAATACCCAAACTGTAGAGTTTAGCTTCTTTTCTGGCGCGAGGAAGGCTCTGAAGAGGGGAAATATCTTTGGATCTGTGTTTAAAAAAAAAAAAAAACTGCCCACAATAGTAAAGTGAAACCAGAATGGAGTGCCGATGGAGTCAATTAGACTAGGCTTAGTGAGTGAGAAGACAAGGGAGTAGTTAGTCAGCACCACGGCTCCTCGATCAGTAGAGTGGAGCGAATTGGTGCTGTAAGGGGTGAAAAACTTGGGTGAGCAGTGAGTGCACTTCAGGGCTGTGTCCTAAATGGACGCCACAGGCAGGCGCTGTAAAGGAGAGGATGCAAGGATATATTACTCTCGTCCAGCCTAGAGACCTACGAAATAGCACTGAGATGCAAGAGCCCACCCAGTAGCCCCAAACACTGCAGCGCTAAGGCTTAAATGTCGACGGGGTGCAAGAGTTGTCCCTTTGCACAGCCGGGCTCCGTAGGGTGAAGAGCGAAGCCTCCATTACAGTGATGGCCCGTGGGCCTAAAAGCCAGAGGTCGTGGAGCCCAGGGTCCCCACCGCCGTCGGCAGGGCCAAGCGCAGGAGAGCATCAATCTCCACGGTTGGGAAGCTCAGGTGAGCTCTCGCTTTACTGCCCCAGCTGGGGCAGCTCCGGTAACTCCGAACGGAAGCGGCCCCTCCCCGCCGCTGCCGGACGCCTAGCCAATCAGTGCGCCCCGCCAATCAGCGCGTCGGGCCAATCAGTGTGTTTTCTCCGGCGGCGCCCGGCGCTTAGCTGACGCGCGAGGCCAACCCGCGCCCCGCCGCCCTTGGGCGACGGCCCCTCCCGCGCTTGCCGGGCCCGTTAGCTGCGCGCCGCGCCTCTTGTGCGACGGCCCCTGGGCGGCGGAGGCCGTGGCGGCGGCGCGTGCGGCGCGGCCCTGGCGCGCCCCCTGGCGGCCCGGCCGGCGAGCTGCGGGTGCGGCGCTGACCCGGAGGCGGCGGCGGCGGTGCCCGGATGGAGGCACGTCATTGTCCCCCGCCGGGCGGCTGGGCTGTGTGCGGCGGCGGCGGCGGCGGCGGCCGAGGGGGATGGAGCGAGTGCCGAGCCGGGTCAGGTAAGCTCCCGCCTCCTTCCCGCTCGCTGCAGGTTGGCGTGGGGCCCGGCCGCGTGTCCTGGCTTCGCGGCCTCAGCCGCCCCGCCACCCTCAGCCGGCCGCGGCCCGCCGGGACTGGCGCGGCCCCTCTCCCGCCGCCCCCTCTACAGCCACCCGGCTGCCCGGGGACCCCACGGCTGCGGAACGGGTGCTGCTGCCGCCCGGCCGAGCCAGGCCCGCGGAGCAGGAGGCGGCGGCCAAGGCGGGAGGGAGGGCTCGCAGCGGAGGCAGCGCTGGGGCTGCACGGGGAGGGCCGGACCCCCCTGGTTGCCATGGCCACCGCGCTCCCACCCCCACCGGCCCCAGCCCGCCCCCTCGGCCCGGTGGCCGGGCCGCGCTGCTGCCGGCTGCTCTCGGGCCGCGGGGCGGGTTTGGAGCTGCCGGGGTGGGCGTGTGCACGCCGGGACAGTGTAGCCGGCGTCCGTGGCCCGCCCGCCGCCCCCCGCGTGACTGCCACCTCCGGCCCCAGGGCGGCCCTCTGAGCTCGGGGCTGGCCTCCCCACCCCCACCCCGCCCCTACCCCAGACAAACTTTCCCACCCGGGCGCGGGCCACTCGGCTTCGCAGAACGCCCGAGTTGCCCACGCCAGAGCGGGCACCCGAAGGGGAGGCGGGCGGCCGGGGATGGGGGGGGGGGGGGAAAGGAGCCCCGTAGTTCATTCTCCTCCGAAATAAAGCAAGTGTGCCTTCCTCCCTTACGTTCTTTATCTTTGGGGCAGGAAGAACCAACTTACCTGGGGGGAAAGGCGGGTGGGAGGGATCGGGTTCAAATGTTTAAAATGAAAATTTGACGGGACCAAAGTTTTACAATCTAGGACTTTAACCTCCCTAGAATGAATACAGTTGAGATTACTTTTGTTGAATAGCTCTTTTATATTTGAAGGCCTTAGGGCTTGCTTGTTTGGTTCTTTCAAGTAAATGCACTCAAGTAACAAAGTGTTGAGAAACTAGTTAACGCCCCTTTTAAAGTAACTACCCGATTCAGATTCTCATAGCTGTTTATGGAGGATAACGTTTTTTGCAAAGTGTGAATCTTAAACATTTGGCTTTACCATGCCACTCATTCAGGTGCATAGGTCTCTGAATAATCAGTTACAGTTGTTTTTACTTAGGGACACTTTCACTTTCTTTTCTGTAATTGAATCAAGACTACAGCAAGTGCTTGATTTGCAAAGGTTTAAGGCTAATCAGTCCGTTTACCTAAATATAATTAAAATTCAAGTGGTATCTTTTTAAAGTTTCTTAAAATGGAAATGTTACAAGCATTTGTATTATATTGTTTATGAAGAAGTGTATACGTTTTTTGTGTATGTATGTCGACCTTATTCCCTCACTGTGTGTGGAGTGACACAGTGTGTTGTGGTACTCCTTTTTTTTATACTGAAAAGGGTTAACAGTAGCCTAGCATTTACTCCCCCATCAAAGAGACATAACCAAGTAAAGGTTCTTAGCCCTGCACATTTATCCAACTCTGGTCCCTGTTCTGGTTGCTAGATAGAGAGTCTTTTTAAATGGTCTCTGGTAACTTTGTATATCATGGGGTGTCAGGAGAAAAGCTCAACTTTCATTGAAGTTACTTTCGTAGTCCTATTTTGAACACTAACTTTCAGAAGCTTTAGTTAGAATAAAGAACAGAAGTCACATGAATCTTGTCTTACACAGTATTGGGTTTTAAGTAAGGTTATCTCTATAAGAGGCAGAGTTTAGTTTGATACTGGATAATTTTAGGGTAAGATTTCATTGCTGAATATCAAAATGAAAATGATGATGGATTTGGTTAGTCTTGCCAGAATCAAACAATACCATACTTACTGATGACTAGAATTGTGTTTTTCTGTTAAGCCTACTGCCCCACTTTCCCTAGAATAATGATGTTTTATTTAATTGTTAATCATTGTCTGGAAAGGTTGCTTATCCCAGGAAAATCAAGGACTTTTACTGTTAATAATGTTAATTTACTAAGGATAGATTAGTCTTTCCTTATTACCCAATTTTGACTTTTTTCCTTTAACTCTCCCTCCTGTTCCTTTTTTCCTTCCTTTCATCAGTATACTTTTTATTTCTGATTTGCCTGTAGGATGAGAAAAGTTTAAGCTTTATTTGGCTAATAGGTTCAGTCTTTCTTGTAAATGAAGGTCATTTATCTTTACTTGATTAAATATTCGAATCAGATATAATTGACTTTCTATTTTTATGTAACTGTCCCCACATTGTACTTTAATTAAAATTGTAAACAAGAAGTTTTTAAGAAACAACCTTGTGAGTAGAAGCACGTGGTGACACTGTCACTGAGGTGGCAAGTACACAAACATTTCATTGCCTTCTGTAAAGGCCAAAGTTTAGAGTACTTCCTTAATTCAGAGTTTTTAAAGGATTAAATGAGATACCTTATATAAATCACTCAGCACAAACTGGTGCTAAAAGCAAACACTAGTTACTTCCTCTTTGCATGATTTCATTCATTTGTTAACACGTTTGGAAAGCTTTCCCCATGCCAGGTAGGGTGGAGTAAGTTTTTACTGAACAAGGAGTCTTTCTTTACGATGGGTTTCTGACCCAGTCTTGGGGTAAAAAGTGTTGTCAAGGAAACCCTTTAGGATGGGTTTCTAATCCAGTCTTGGGGTGAAAGGAATTGTTACGGAAAGCATGCCAGAGGAGTGAATTCTAAACCTGGGAATTGAAACTTTACTGGCCAGATATAGAAAGATGGAAAATAATAGCTTGCAAGAGCTCAAATAGAGCAGGTACTGAAATGGATGAGCCTATGATGGGAGCCCTCCAGAGACCAAAGCGTGCCACGTCCAGATACTAGGAAGAAGAGCACTACAGGGATGTCTTCTTCAGGGTGTGGCTGCCTGTACCATTCCTTTTTTTTTTTTTTTTTTTTTGGTTTTTTTGAGACAGGGTTTCTCTGTAGCTTTGGAGCCTGTCCTGGAACTAGCTCTTGTAGACCAAGCTGGCCTCAAACTCACAGAGATCCACCTGCCTCTGCCTCCCGAGTGCTGGGATTAAAGGCGTGCATCACCACTGCCCAGCGCCTGTACCATTCCTAAAAGTGCTTTTTGGCCGGGTGGTGCAGCGGCTAGACAGAAGCCCAGCTGGGTTTCTTGGTTCTGGCTCTCTAGTCCCGGTCACTGACTAGTTTGAGTTGTATTATTACTTCATTGTAAACCTTGCAGGTTTTGACTGATCAAAGGTTCATCATGAAAATTTAGCAAGTTAGTATGTATTCAGCAATTAATATGATGCCCAGTACATAGAAAAAAAGCTTAATTAGTATATTTGAAAATAAGATCCAGAGAGAATTAAATTTAAACGCATTTGTGTTAAAAGTTTGATGCTAGTAAAATTACAGGTTTAATTTTAAAAGTTAATCCATATACATAGACTTCTTCAGGAAAATGAATTTCACTGGTAAGACTTTTCTGTAGCTATAACTTTTCAAAACTTCAAATTTCATACAATGGTATTTTAGATTTTGAGTTAAAAATCAAAGCTAAATATTCTCTTTATGTAATTGAGATTTCCCCTGAAATGGTGTATAAATTGAAAATGTAGTCAAATAAAAAAAATTAAAGTGTAGAATATTCCTAGCTTTTAAGTAGTAGAGATTAAAGAAAGGTTCTTATTTAAATATATATAATTGTGAATTGAGATGCCTAATTATAAACTGAAAGATGATTTGGGGGATTTGGTATAGGATATGGGTTTTTTGTTGCTGCTGCTGCTTTTGAGACGGTCTTGTATTGAACTCTTGCTCTTCCTGCCACCACCTCTCCAACGCTGGGATCACAGGCTTGCACCACTATGCTGGTCCAGTTTATGAGATATGGGAGATAAAACCCGGGCTTCCTGGATTCTAGGCAACATCCCTACCCCCACTAATGTTTTATATTTGGGTGATTTGTTTAAAGAGTTTTAAATGGCTAGTCAAAAATTTCCAAGATAGAGTGGCTATTTATGTAGACTGCTTGCCTCACCCTTTGAAACAACAAAACATACTTTTTGTCTTTTACAGGGTTGAAAAATGACCATAGTTGACAAAACTGAACCTTCAGACCCATCAACCTGTCAGAACCAGCCTGGCAGTTCTGAGGCGGTCTCACCTGAAGACATGGACACAGGCTCTGCCAGCTGGGGTGCCGTGTCTTCAATAAGTGATGTTTCAAATCATACACTTTCTTTAGGGCCAGTGCCTGGTGCTGTAGTTTATTCCAATTCATCTGTACCTGATAAATCAAAACCATCACCCCCAAAGGATCAAGGTATGATTGCAGAATTACTGTCAGGAACTCCTGTGCGAATGTTTGAGGAAGGCAGTGGTTTTCAAGCCTGGCACTGTTTGATTTCCTTCTAGTGAGCAATCATTCTCCACCCACCCACCTGCCACTGTTAGCCTGGGTTGCAGATAGGAGGGTGGACTGACTTTAGTTATCGGGATGTGAGTGGTTTTTGTAAATTCCCAATTTATTGAAGGATAAACTTTATCTTCTCCTCAAACTCATTATGTAGCCAAAACTGGCCTGATTTTGGTTTTTCAAGACAGGGTTTCTCTGTAGCTTTGGTGCCTGTCCTGGAACTAGCTCTTGTAGACCAGGCTGGCCTCGAACTCCCAGAGATCTGCCTGCCTCTGCCTCCTGAGTGCTGGGATTAAAGGTGTGTGCCACCACCGCCCGGCCCTGGCCTGATTTTTTTTTTGTCTTCCTGAGTCTCGTCTCTACCGCCTGAGTGCTAGGATGAGAGGCAGTGCTGGGGATCAAACGCAGGACTTTTTGTGCCTTTTAGGGACACATTCTGTTAACTGAGCTATATCCCCAGACCCTTATTATGAAAAAGTATGAGAAAATATAAAGGTAGAAAATAAAGTATGAGAAAATATAAAGGCCTCTTGTGGCCTTCATGGGTACCAGTGCTTGTGCATACAATGTGGGAACACACACACACACAAATCCAGTTTGTATTTTTTAATTAGTTTAAATGAATACTACACAGTAAGTGGATTTATATCTCTTAAGATCCTTTCTTTGTATCCATCCCTTGTCTTTGAAAATGATTTGTTAAAGAAGTCAAATGAGAGTGGAATTATCCTCTCCCCAGGCTCTGGACTCGAGTGTGACTTTCTCCTCGGTGTGTGTGGCAGGCTGGTAATGAGGTGTAGGATCTTGACCAGACTCAGGCATTGCTGTGAGTTTTGCTTATGAAGTGTGCAAGGCTTTGTTTTTAATTTTTTTGTTCTGTTTTCTTTTAAGTCCTAGGTGATGGCATTGCTCCTCCTCAAAAGGTTCTGTTTCCATCTGAAAAGATTTGTCTTAAGTGGCAACAATCTCATCGAGTTGGCGCTGGGCTCCAGAATCTGGGCAATACCTGTTTCGCCAATGCTGCATTGCAGTGTCTGACCTACACACCACCCCTCGCCAATTACATGTTATCTCATGAGCACTCCAAGACATGTGAGTGCTGTGTGCTCTGGTGTGCATGTTTTCAGTGCTGTGCTTTGCTTTCCCACTGCTGTCTTCCTCTGAAGTGAACAGGAAATAGATGTGGGGTTCCATGTCCGTGGGCATGGCATTTAGCTCAGTGGTAGTATGCTCACTTAGCATGCACCAGGCCCTTGGTTTAATCTTCACTCTGAAAAACAAAGAAACAAAAAGCCCAAAACCAGAGTTCCAGGCCATTCTGGCCTACCTGGGACCCTGTCTCCAATAAATAATCAAAAAAAGAAGCTGGTAGAAATATTTGTCTTTATAAAACAAGTATGTTATTTCTCTTGGGTGAGAATGAAATGACTTCATCCTGTGTTGGACACATAACTTTTAAACACTTCAGAACTGTTTCCAAAGGGATTGTGATATTTAAGCCCTGACCAACAGGGATGAAGGTTCTATTTGCACCATGCATTTTCAAACACAGGGTATGAGCAGGGTTTTGATTTTGATTATTTATTTATTTATTTATTTATTTATTTATTTATTTATTGAACCCAGGGTCTCCTTCTTATTAGGCAAATGCTCTATCACTCAGCTATACCCTCAGCCCCAGTCTTCACCATTGTGACCATTCTCAGTAATATTTAGTAGTGTCTTCTGATTGTTGTGACTTTTATTTGCACTTCCCTAATTAGTAATGATGGGAAAAATCTTTTATCTTTTTTATTTTTTTCCCTTGAGTTAGGGTCCTAGCCCAGGCAGGCCCTTGTAGACTGTGTAGTGGAAGATGACCTTGAACTTCTGATCCTCCTGCCTCTACCTCCTGAGAGCTGGGATTACAGGTGTGCATCACCACTTCCTGTTCATAGAGTGCTGAAGATAGAACACAGGGCTTCAGCAATCTGCCAATTGCACTTAAATCTTCAGCTCCCCCTGCCCCTTTAAATCTTGCCTCGCTGTGAACTAGCTGGTTTTCCTGTTGTTGAATTTTGGGGGTTTTATATATTTTGGAACTATTAGACTGAGACTTGTGTTTTCTCCAATAGGTGTCTTTCATCTCAGTGTCTTTTGGAAAGTTTATTATTTGTAGTTCATTACTTTTTATTTATTTATTTATTTATTTATTTTTTACTTTTTATTTTTTATCAGTTATGTTAAATCTTCTTTAAGAAATCTTGAACTGGGGGCTGGAGAGATGGCTCAGTGGTTAAGAGCATTGCCTGCTCTTCCAAAGGTCCTGAGTTCAATTCCCAGCAACCACATGGTGGCTCACAACCATCTGTAATAAGGTCTGGTGCCCTCTTCTGGCCTTCGGCATACACACAGATAGACTATTGTATACATAATGAATAATAAATAAATATTATAAAAAAAAAAAAAGAAAAGAAATCTTGAACTGGCAGGATGATGTGGAGAATCAGGTGGTTTGCCCCCAGGCCTGACAGCCTGAGTTGAGTACCTGGGGTTCCTGTTGTGAAGGGAGAGAACCGACTCCCATACCGTGTCTTCTGCCTCTACACTGACCTGTGTGTCCAAACACGTACACGTGCAGTAAATAAAATGTAAACATTTTTACTTAGTCTGAGGTCAGAGATATTTTACTCTGTTTTCTTCTAGACATTTCCTTTTGTTTTTTTTTTTTTTTGAGTCAGTGGTTCCTTTTAATTAATTTTTGTTTGTAATGTGATTTTTTTTTTCCTTTCAGTGCTGGGGATTGAACACAGAGTCTCACTCATGCTCAGCAAGTGCCTGTCCCTGTGCTGCACAGGTCTCTGCTGCTATAGTTGTTGACACTGTGTGCTCAGAGCAGCCTTCTTCACAGAAAAATTCAGCATTTTTACTGTTTAATAAATACCTGACTTTGGGCACATTTCTTCTCTGGTCCTTAAAGTCATCAGTATATACTTTTCACCCAACCTTCCCAGATAATTAAATGATAGCAGCAGCTCAGTGCATGCACATGGTAACTGGCACTGTTGCTGCATTCTGGGCGTCTGCCCTCATTTCTGATCTACCTTCCTGTTGTATATTGTCACATTTTGCTCATTTGGATTCTCATTATCTTGCAGGCCACGCAGAAGGATTTTGTATGATGTGCATAATGCAAACACACATTACCCAGGCACTCAGCAACCCTGGAGACGTTATCAAGCCGATGTTCGTCATCAATGAAATGCGACGTAAGTTTCAACTGCAGTAGCTCCTGTCGGTACTCCATGTCTAGTTATTTGTTGTCGTCCAGATCTCCTCCTTTTGTATTTTGAGAGAGGGGCTCATTCTGTAGTCCATGCTGGCCCCAAACTCATGGCACTCTGCTTGCATCATGCTCCCAGGTGCTGAGATTGCAGGTGTATAACACCATTCAGGGCTTGTATACAGTTTTCTTACACACTTCATGTGTTTTGAGACAGGGTCTCCTGTGTCCAAGCCTGGTCTTGAATTTTCTGTGTAGCTATGGATGGTTTCTGAACACCTGATTTCCACCTCTCAAGTACTAAAGCATAGGCAGGCCTGTACTATCATGCCCAGCATATCAATGTGCTTTTTGTACTATATCTTTTTATCATTTTAATTAGCCAATTTTGTAATAACAATATAAAACTCTTTCAGGGTAATTATAGAAAGGTATATGGTTATACAGTGACAAGCTATAATCTTTTTGCCTAAAAAGTTGTTGAAAATAAGAGATGCTTGGGAACTAAAGTCAGGGGCATCAGGAGTTCGAGGTCATCTTCAGTTAGTGCAGTGTTTGACGCCTGCCTGAGATCCATAAGACTAAGCCTCAAAAAATAAGGTCATTCAGGGATTTTTCCAGGGACATAGTTCCAGGTGTATCTTTTAGGGATGTCACCATGGCACAGGGTATGTAATAATAAGGCCTGTCTTTCTTCAAATCTTACAGGTATAGCTAGACACTTCCGTTTTGGAAACCAAGAAGATGCCCATGAATTTCTTCAGTACACAGTTGATGCCATGCAGAAAGCATGTTTAAATGGCAGCAATAAGTAAGTACAGCAGAGTCGATGTCGGTTCATGACGTCATGCTTTCAGCTTGTCTCTTTGAAGGTTCCTTTTCCTGATTTGCACCATTGTAAAAAGACTAGAAGTCAGGAAATGGACTTATTGTAAGCATCCAAATTTGTTGATCTTACATGCTGGGTGGTAGTCTTGCTGCTGCTTAGTTTCCAGGTCTGATTCTAGCTGCTTTTCCTTTTAGCAATGCCTAATGCTTTCCATGTTCATCTCCAGACTCAGAAATCTGCCCTCCACACCCCCTTCAGTTATCAGTTCTGTAGCTTCTTAAAACTCAGGAAGACTAGGAAAGATCCCAACCCACCTGTTGTGTTCCAGACACCTGTACATGGTCCTCTTTGCTCTTTTGTCTCAAGTCTTAAGGATTGGTCTGGGTACCGTTAGTGTTGAACAGAGGAAGGTGCTCTGCCTTAACTCCCCTTGCCAGGCCTCAGCAAAGAAAGAAGTGCAGGTTTGTAAAGAGCATCTTCTCAGTTCTCTACCTCAGCCATCATAGCAAGTCCTTGCATCTTTCACCAAGTCCTCACAGTGGGATAGTCTCCAGCTGCCATGCATTTCTGACGTCATCATCTTTTGTGATTCTCCTCCGAATTGTTGTTCCTTTATAAACATAGATGCTTTTAAAATCTGGCCACAGTATTTGCCGAGCTCTCCTCTAATGTCACTATTTGGATGTTTTTCAGATTGGACAGACACACCCAAGCTACCACCCTAGTCTGCCAGATATTTGGAGGATACCTAAGATCGCGAGGTAAACTTTTTTTGAAGATTCATCATAACATACATGCTTATGGTTTTAAAATGCAAACTGTAGGGGTGGGTAATAATGAAAAGATCGCAGGTCCAACCAGATTCAGTACATCCTTCTGGTACTGAATGAGCTGGGGCATACTGTGCATAAGCTCTTCATATTTATCTTCTTGCTAGAAAGCTTACGGGTGCAGTCAGAGCTCCATCTCATCTCCTGTTGAGGGATAAGTTTTGAGAGCATTCATAATCAGATACCTTCGTGTGTGCCATCGCTTGCGCAGAGTGAAGGCTTCTAATTTCTGAATCATAAAGTATCTAGAGGTTATAGCAGTTTATATTTCAGCCAGTGGCTTACAGGGGCTAGGATTATGGCACTTCTACCCACAGTGTGAGAATTTACTTACATCCTTTTCACTTAGTACTTTTAGTTCTTTATTTGGAAATGTATTCTGTCCTATCAGTAGCTGGTAAGGCAAGAACTTACTATTCATATTTTCTTTTATTTCAGTCAAATGTTTAAATTGCAAGGGTGTTTCAGATACCTTTGATCCATATCTGGACATAACATTGGAGATTAAGGTGAGCTCAGCACTTAACAGTAGTGAAGTTAAAAACATCCTTTCGTAGCCTTGGTGTTTATATATTTTTCATATCAATCAAACATAGATGGTTGTTACTCTTTGAAACTCTAGCTCATTGAATTTTTCACACTCCTGGTTTTTGTTGTTTGGAGCTTTTGTTTTTCTGATTACAAATGTAGTTCTGTACTTGCTAAACAAAGAAATAATGCATAGAAATGCAAAACCTGTCCCTCGAAATTTTTTGGTTTTTTTGAGACATAGTTTCTCTGTAGCTGTGGAGCCTATCCTGGAACTAGCTCTTGTAGACCAGGCTGGCCTTGAACTCACAGAGATCCACCTGCCTCTGCCTCCCAAGTGCTGGGATTAAAGGCATGTGCCACCACCACCTGGCTCAGAGTTTATTCTTTAGTGGTGTGATCTATGCTGCTCCACAATAGATTGCTTGCTTTTTATTTATGGTTGTGAGCCTAGCCTTTAACGGCTGAGCCATCTCTCCAGCCCGATTGCTTGCTTTTTAAAAAATATTTTGAAACTTCCATATATGTGTATCTGTGTGAGTGTATCTTGTGTGTGTGTGTGGGGGGGGGCACCTGCAGAGGCCAGAATAGGGCATTGGTGGACCCACTGGAGCTGGAGTTACAGATGTGAGCAGCCTTTGTGGGTGCTGCAAGCATTCTTTGCCTCCGAACCATCTCTGAAGCCCCAGATTGCTGTCTTTTATGAAGATGGTTTATGATTATCCTTTTACCTGTCTGCTGTTTTCATTTGATTCTGCTTGGAAGCCTTGTTCTCTGGACAGTTGCATAGTGGGTCTAGAAAGTAGATATTCCATAGTTTACATGCCTGGTCCTTGATGGTTTCTCTTTTAGGCCAGTGTAAGTCAAACTGCAGTCTACTTTGTTCTGTTTAATCTGCTTGTCTTTAAAATGGGGGCATAATTTTTTGTGTAGTTGTATAAAAGTAGATACACGATAAACAGTAACAAAAAATCACGTGAACATTTCCTGTTGCTTTTCTGCCAAAGGATAGGGGTATGTGTATGTGCATTTGTCTGTCCATCTCAACCCCTGGCAGTGCTCATGGTGACATGAGGTTTGTGCCCATTTCCTAGGCTGCTCAGAGTGTTACCAAGGCATTGGAGCAGTTTGTGAAGCCAGAACAACTGGATGGAGAAAACTCGTACAAATGCAGCAAGTATGACTGGGTGACATGTTCCCACCCTCTTTGGGGAGAGGGCTGTGCTTTCCTGTGATTATTCTAATTTAGAAATTGACTCCATTTTCAGTGCTTTTTAGGTGATTTTCTTTTTCTCTGTTTTTCGTTTGGGGTATTGGGTATGAAGTCCAGAGTCTCACATGGGTTAGGCAAGTGCCTGTCCATGGAGCTGCATCCTACCCCAGTTTAATGTTATCAGTTACTCAACGTTTTGGATTATTTTTTAAAGGCAGGGTCTTTTATGTGCTCCAACCTGGGTTTTGCATTTTAATCTTCCTGAATAGTCAGTTTATATATCTTTCTATGTATGTGGGTGTTGTGGAGGACTGAGCCTGGGGCCTTGTCCATACTAGGCAAGTGCTCAACCACTGGCCCACACACCCAGCCCTCCTGGAATTTCTAATTTTACTATTTTGACTGCTGGTTTAAAGAGTTGGTTTGCTGTTCTTGTTTTAATTTAGTTTCTTTGTTTTAACTTAGGGTGTTTTAGACAAATAAAAACTAAAACACTTAAGTATCTACACTAAACATCCCAACCTTTTCTTCCTGTGTGTTTCAAGGTGTAAAAAAATGGTTCCAGCTTCAAAGAGATTCACCATCCATAGGTCCTCTAACGTTCTCACCATTTCACTGAAGCGCTTTGCCAACTTCACTGGCGGGAAAATTGCTAAGGTATATGCATGATTTGTAGGGTTTTTTTTTTTTTTAATCACTGTACATTGAATTTTCCCCTTTCCTTCCGAATTAATGGTGAAAGTGGCCAAGATACAGTAATGTGCAAGAGCTGTAACACATGCTTGAGTCACTTGGTCATGAGTGACGGCTGCAGCTGTCACTGTGAGATTTTGTTGAAGATTCACAGTGTGGGTCCTAATTTATGACCCATAAATGGGATTGCCCTCAGCTCTCTTCTATTCTGTTCATTGGTTTTCTGGGGTCAAGGCTTCTAGGTCTTGAACACCCTCCTTATGTGTACACCTGTAGCTGAAAACATAGGCCACCTGTGTCTTCAAAAATAACAGTCCTAACTCTTTCCGTTTATTTTTAGGATGTAAAATACCCTGAGTACCTTGATATTCGGCCTTATATGTCTCAGCCCAACGGAGAGCCAATTATTTATGTTTTGTATGCTGTGCTGGTACACACTGGTTTTAACTGTCATGCTGGCCACTACTTTTGCTACATAAAGGTATGCTGCCGGGCAGCTAGTAAGTTTTCTGTGGGATAGCACTGGGTTCATGGGGTCAGCAGTGGAACTTTTACAGTGAGGGGTGATGGTCTGTTTCTCTTAGGTGGTTTTTGACTGTGGGCCTTGACATCAGACTAAATCCAGCCTCTCTTTGTGGTTTCTTTGACAGGCTAGCAATGGCCTCTGGTATCAGATGAATGATTCCATCGTGTCCACCAGTGATATTAGATCGGTGCTTAACCAGCAAGCTTATGTGCTCTTTTATATCAGGTATTGACTTGAAAACAAGTTGTTAGCTGTGCTGTTGGATCAATTTCTCTTCCTTTCATCAACATACTTAATTTTGAGCTGCCTTTTAAACAGCAAGTTAAAGATGAATTGCCATGTGTTTAAGCCTGAGGTCTTTTTGAGTACATGTCATGAGTTTGCCATTAGCTTGTCACTCACTGACAAGTATAGAAAGAGGACAGCAGCCCTGAGGAGGCAACTGAGTGGCCTGGGACTGTGGAGGCAATGGGAAGGGGGCTCTGTGCCCTTGTGCTCTCCGTCAGTGCCTCCCCAGCAGTCAAGCTCTGCCAGCACTTGCGCCCACTGTCTGCTGTTAGCTGCAGGCTTGTAACGCACCAGTTCTATTTCTGAAGAAATATGATATAGGCTCCACGTTGTCTCCTCTATTAGGTACTTGGGGTGGAACCCAGGATCTCAAATATGCAAGCCAGCCCATCTATCAGCCACATTCTCAGTCCCACAAAATATCCCAAGTAGCTGAAAATATCCCCAGATATTCAACCATGACAGAATGACCATTTCCATGTCTCCAAAACAATAGTAGTAACAACCTGAAACCAACATTTTTTTGACCTAGTTGGTGCTGGGTGTGGTGGTACACACCTTTAATTCTAGCAGGCAGAGGCAGGTAGATCTCTTATGTTTGAGGCCAGCCTGGTCTACACACCCAGTTCCAAGATAGCGAGAGCCATGTAATATGTCTTGGGGGTGGGGAGCTCATTGAGTCAGTTTCTCGTGTCCTGCCTCAGCACCCAGCATTGACAGCCTAATAGGGGTGGTGATGTGTAGCTCTGTCCGTGAGACGTGGAAGTTCCATGTCCCATTTCTGTCTGACAAGCTAGGTACTGTTGAATTTGTAAATATATCTTCTAAGGAGATGTCTTTCCTCATACAAGCCATTTTATTCTTTGTCCCCAGGTCACATGATGTGAAAAATGGAGGGGAACCTGCTCATCCCACCCATAGTCCTGGCCAGTCCTCTCCCCGTCCAGGAATCAGTCAGCGGGTCGTCAACAACAAGCAGGCAGCACCAGGGTTTATTGGACCCCAGCTACCTTCCCATGTACTGAAGGTAACTCTTGAGTCAGGAAAGCGAGTCCCAAACCTGGCCTCACTGATGGAGTTGCCTCATCTGCTGCCTGAAGTCACTGCAGCCCTTTATTACAAAACGTCTCAGGGTAGGGGAATAATCCAGTGGCTGCTTAGGGCGTGTGTAGAAGACCCCTCTTACTGTGAACTCTCACACTCCTTTAGACTAGAGATTTGGGTTCTTAATTAAAGTTGGACTAAGGGAAGTAAAATTCTCAGGGACATTTTGTTCATGTCTGGGTCATCTTGGGAGTGTGGCAGTGTGAAAGGAATTTGCTGATAAACAGCAGAGGCGAAGCTTGTCAGTTACCAAGTGTACTGTGTCTGGAATACTGACCCAGCTGTTCTCTTCCTCCTTGTAGACTACACCACACTTGAATGGCACCACGCCAGTGAAAGACACGCCAAGTAGTTCGATGTCAAGCCCTAACGGAAACACCAGCGTAAATAGGGCCAGTACTGTTAATGCCTCGACTTCTGTGCAAAACTGGTCTGTCAGCAGGCCCTCAGTTGTTCCAGAGCACCCCAAGAAACAAAAAATTACCATCAGTATTCACAACAAGTTGCCTGTTCGCCAGGGTCAGGCACAGCTGAATAACAACCTCCATGGCCCTTCGCTGGAGGCCCCTAGCAAGGCAACACCCTCCTCTACCATCACTAACCCTTCTGCAATACAGTCTACCTCGAACGCATCCATGACATCTGTTTCCAATAAAGTAGCAAAAGCAGTTTCCCCCAGTGAACCCTGTTCTAAGCCCATGGTGAACGGCAAGGCTAAGGTGAGCTCCAATGTGCTGGTCCCCTATGGGGCTGAGTCCTCAGAAGAGTCCGACGAGGAGTCGAAGGGCCTGACCCAGGAGAATGGTGTAGACATGATGGCCAGCACTCCCTGTGCCAGGCCAGAAGCTAAAGACAAGGACAGTGAGGCTTCCCCTCATGAGCTACAAGAATCCGTCACGCTAAATGGTGCTAATAGCGCAGGCAGCGACTTGAGAGAGAACGGCCTAGCATTTGACAGTGCCAGCTGTCAGGTCCAGCCCGATATACACACAGAAAACCTCTTTTCCAAACTTAATGGTCTTCCTGGAAAGGTGAGTGGCAGGGAGGGAGGGCTCCAGCCTCATAGATTAGCTGGATTTCATGAGGCATGGCTCTGGCCGCTGGATCTGAAGCCCCTTTGTTTCACTGTAGGTGATGCCTGCTCCTTTACAGTCTGTTCCTGAAGACAAAGTCCTCGAGACCTTCAAGCTTACCAACCAGGCAAAGGGCCCATCGGGTGAAGAGAGGTAGGAGTGGTGTCAGTGAGTGTGCCAGTGCGAGTGAGCACCTCAGATAGTGCAAAGAAGGGCACGCTCATCCGTGGATCTTTTCAGCTTCCCTCTTAGAAGAGTAAAATACCAGCCTGGCAACTAGGAGTCAGGATCCCTTGATAGGTTCAGCTGACATGTCCTCGTGCACACCCTCTTACAGGTTCAGTGGTGTTCTGAAACATTTGATTTGAGACAGGGACTCCAACTCCCTGTGTAGCTGAAAATGGCCTCATCCTGACTGCTGGGATGTCAGGTGTGAACCAGCACACCTGTCCTACGCAGTGCTGAGAACAGAACCCGGGGTGTGTGTGTGTGTGTGTGTGTGTGTGTGTGTGTGTGTGTGTGTGTGCTGGTGAGCAGTACCAACTGCGCCACAACCCTTAGCCCCTGGACTTTTTTAGGGCTGGCCTGGAACTTACTATGTAGATCAGGCTGGCTTCTAATTCTGTCAATTTTCCCAAATGCTGGGGTTACAAGTATGTATAGCTACCATTCCTGGCTTCACTTAGCTCTTGAGATGAGTTAGACACTTACCTGAAAGTGTAAAGTGTCTATGACTATGGAATTGTGAAAATAGGAGGTAGTCCTGCTAGAAATTGTACTTTTTACTTACTGAGGGAAAAGAAAAACTTGTTTCCAGGAGTGATAAACTTGATACTGTGCTTCATCAGCTGTGCTTAAAGTACAGACTGTTGAGTGGAGCTATCCCTCAGTCCTGTGGGCAGTCGGGCTAACCATCACTCTGTTTCTTTGTTTTGATGGGGCTGTAGTTGGACTACAACAGGGGAAAGCCCCCCGAAGGACCCTGTGCCACAGCTGGAGCCCAGCACTGATGAGAATGGTTCTCTTGAGACACCAGAGGCAGTTACCAATGGGAGCATGAAGACCCCTACAACCATGTCACCCCAGGAGCCCACCATCAACTGTACCAAAGAAGACTCCTCTATTGTCGTCTCAGCTATCTCAGCTAACCCTGTGGAGGTTCTGCCCTCCATCACTGCTCCTTGTAACACCACCGGTACTACCTTGGGGGATACCCCACTGCCCGAATTGTGTGACCCTGATGACTTGACTACCAACCCGAGCCAGCCACCCCAAGCAGTGAAAGGGGAAATAGCTGAGAACCCGCAGGACTCCACTTTGGCTGAAGCGGTGGAGAGACTGAGTCCGGCTCCCTCAGTACTCACAGGCGAGGGCTGTGAGCAGAAACTCTTCCTTTACCTCAGCACAGAGGGGTCCGAGGAGGCCGAAGATTCATCTAGAAGCTCGGGGGTCTCTGCAGGCACAATTCCCCCTCCTCAGCCTGACTGGACCACCAGCTCTTGTGAAGGGGCTGCTGAGCAGGTTCCCGGGGAGAGAGGTGATGGAAACAAGGTGGGACCCAAAGTTGAGGAGGCTTCCCCAGCTAAGGCACAGGTGAGCAGCCTCCGGAAAGTTGAGGAGCCTTCCCCAGCTAAGGCACAGGTGAGCAGCCTCCGGAAAGTTGAGGAGCCTTCCCCAGCTAAGGCACAGGTGAGCAGCCTCCGGAAAGTGGGTCGAGGACACTATCGAAGCCGGAGAGAGCGCTCCTCCAGTGGGGAGCATGGGAGGGACTGCAGGGCCCGGACGGAGGACCACCACTATAAGAAGCGACGCTGCTACAGTCGAGAGCGGCCCAAGCAGGAGCGCCACCCCATTAATACGTACTGCAATGGGGGCCAGCACCTGGGCCATGGTGACAGAGACAGCCCTGAGCACCGCTCCCTAAGCAGATACAGCCACCATCATTCACGGGTTAGGAATGGCCCAGAGCAGGACTGGAGCCGGTACCACCATTCGGAAAATGAGCATGCCTGGGTCAGGGAGAGATTCTACCCAGACAAGATGAGGTGGGACAAATGCAGGTATTACCACGACAGGTACACCCCATACACGGCCCGAGAGTGGCGGCCTCTGCGTAGTCGTGAGCATGAACGCACTGCTCAGCTTGGGCGTCCACACAAAGACAGCTACTGGGGCCGGAAAGGCTGGGAGCCGCAACCTCGGGGGAAGGAACGGCCCCACTTCCGTAGCTCACGAGAGGCCTCAGTCCTTGCCCTGTCCATCGAGAGGCATCCCCACGAGAAGGCCATGCTGGCTGTGCAGGACAGCAACCACAGCTTCCCTGATCGCTTTCATGAACATGAAAGTGTCAAGTCAAGGAAACGGAGGTATGAGACTACAGAAAATGATAGCCGCCTAGAAAAAAAAGCCCACAAAAATCTGGAGAAGGATGCTTTAGAAGAGCCAAGGGCGAAGAAGCACAAGAAATCTAAGAAGAAAAAGAAGTCCAAAGATAAACACCGGGATCGAGATGCCAGGTGAGGCCTGGAGAAGGGGATCCAGTGGCTGAGCTTGGCGTGACCACGGTGCTTGCGTGGCCAGCTCTCCTGACAGTACTAGATCTTGCTCCACCAGTTTGTTTTTGTTTAATCACTGGAGTTCGGAGATTTGGTTGTTTTACATATCTCTAAAGTTTCACAAAGCTTTTAATTTATTGGACTCTACAACTCTCTGAGGCCTGACACACGTCATGATGTTTTTTGTATCTGTTGTATTTTCTTCTCTGCCTGATTGGAGTGAGCTTAGGACACACCATTTATTTCTTTGACGATTGTCTCCTATTTAGGCCACCATTTCTCATTTTAATTCTAAATGTTTATATATATATATATATATATATATATATATATATATATATGGGGGGGGGGCTATCTGACCTCAAACTTAGATCCTTCTGCCTCAGTGTCCCCAATGCTGGTATTTTATAGGCTGTGTGTCATGCATGTGATTGGTTTGTGTCACTTAGGAGTGGCAACTGTCTTAATTTGTCTGATTCATGAGCATGAATGAAGTTTTGTATCTTTTAGCTGATACCACTTACCATGAAAACTGGGGGAGACGGCCATAGCCATTTGTAAACAGCAGCAGGTCACAGCTGCCTTCTGTTCTGTGCCTGGGCACATGGTAGAATGTGCCAAGTCTGGCTAGGGTAAAACCGTGCTGAGGACCATGGTATTGTATTTGAAGACCTTGGTCTTAAAACTTGTTTCCATGGGAAGAAACAACATGTTGGCAGGAGAAATTTGCCCACAGATACATAGCTAGTGTCCCAGGGGATGGGGAGCCAGGATTGTAGTTTTTCCCTGGGGCTGAACTCTGGCTGCTTCTTCTGCAGGCATCAGCAAGAATCCGATTTTTCGGGAGCATACTCTGATGCTGACCTCCATAGACATCGGAAGAAGAAGAAGAAAAAGAAAAGACATTCAAGAAAGTCAGAGGACTTTGTGAAAGATGTTGAGATGCATTTACCGAAGCCCTTGAGCTATGAGGCTGTCGGCCATTTCCGGAGAACAGAGGGCACCTTCCTGCTGGCCGATGGCCTGCCTCTGGAAGACAGTGGCTCTTTCCGGGAGAAATCTAAGCATTTAAGGATGGAAAGCCGGCCTGACAGATGTCATCTGTCAGAGTATGGCCAGGGTAAGAAGACTGGGAATTAAGGACACAGCTCTTTGAGTAACGTGTTTGGGAAAGGTAATGAACACAGAAATGTAAGGGGCACAGAATGTTATGAGTTGACTCAAGATGCCCTACAACAAGATCCTCCCTATGAGCAGAGGTATGGTGTGACCTCTGTTGAAGGCCTGAGTTGCATGGAGCTGGGCCCATGTGTGCACAGACTCCTGGAACTTAGAGAGTCTGTATGTGTCACACACTAGAGCTTTGGCTTTTAAAGTATTCTATGCTTGTGTATGTTTGTATGCGCCTACTTGTACATCTGTGTGTATTGTGTTAACTTCTGAACCCCTAAAGGCCCTAGTGTACTCCAGTTGCTAAGTCATAACTCAGTAGTGTGGTCTCTAGAGACGTATCTTTCTTGTGGGGCTATGGTATCCTCCAGGCTACCATTTTCTGAGGTGATTCTTGCTGGATCCTTCTTGTAGTTCAGGGTGAGTTCCCCTCCCCCACCTGAGTGCCAGTGTGTGTGGATGCCCCTTTCTCTTCCTACCGTTTTTTAATGAGCTTTTCCTTTAGATAGCATTTGGCTTGTAAAAAAACTTATGGGATAGGAATGTCAGTGGGGCCAGAGCAGAGGCTGGAAAACTGTAGCCCTGTGGCTACAGCCTAACCTGCAATTCAGAGTGGCTCTAACAAGTACTGAGTATAGTAGTATTTGTTCAAGTGAAGCACTGTGTGGAATCAGGTTTTGGCTCAGTAGACTTTAGCTGAAGTCCATGTGTTATGTTGTGCTGTTTTGAACCACTCAGTAGAGGTAAGACATGGCCTGTCCCATTGAAATGATTTTCATCATCTTTTTATATCAAGGGCCAGTGCTATAAAAAGCTTGTCATTTCTGCCCCAGACACCCAAAGATCATAGTCATGAATAAAAGGCGTGTGTGTTGCTACAGATGTGTTGGCCCTGAGTGGAACCTTTTGCTCTTTGGCAGTCCACACATCAGGTGGTCTCAAACTAGTGGCTTGTTTGCAGCTACTCCGCACCCACACTTCTCTTCTGAACACCACTGACCCTTTCTCGTAAACTCCAGTTTTTCCTCCAGCCCTCTGAGCTGACATCTGTTCATCCTCACATAAGGATGTGCAGCTGTATGCTGGGGCAGACCTGGTCCTTGGGTGTGGCTCTTGAACATCCTCTGTTGGGAGTTCTTTGTAGCACTGCCAAGCCAGTGTCTGCTTGCTCATCCTGTAGGAGTGACTTTTCCTGCAGCCGAGTCTTCAGGTACACACACATTAAATTGTTTCCTCACTTTGCCTTCCAGGTGATTAACGGCCCCAGCCTCATAACAAAAAAAAAAATTATGGTAAGCAGTTTTCTTGTCTGTGTTTTGGTCATTTGTAAAAGTTCTGAGTGGATAGAGGTGGGTTTCTTTCTGAAGAAAAGATTGATTGGAGTCCTGGGGGTCTGTGTCTGTGACACTCACTTGTATCCAGACATGGGGTTAAGTATCTGAGAGCAGAGAGGAATCATATAGGTCAGAGCCATAGCCTGGGTCCTAATTGCTGGTGTTTTATTGTATGGCCCTGAGAGACAGGAAACTCATAACCCACACTTGGTGAAGCAGAAAGGAGTCTGTCCCGTCCAGTCTGCAAAGAGGGCTTTAAAATGAGCAGCTACAGAAGCTCAATTTGCAGCTAATTAACGGGCTTTGTCAGTGTCAGGAAGACAAAGACTTTAAGCCTCTCCATTTCTGTCAAAGTGGAATCTAAGGTCTGAGGCGAGGGGCCCAGCAGATGGCGCCTCCCTGGCCTCCCAGTTGAGGAAGGTAGAGAACTCATTTAATGGGAGCACACCCAGAGCACATGAGACCAGTCTCCATTCAGCTAACGCCTGTACCTCTTTTCTTTCAGATTCAACATCTTCAACAGAAGCCATCCCCAACCCAGCTTAAATTATAAACATAGAAAATAACTTTGTCCAAACTGCGTGGTGCTTCTTTAGTAAATACTGTACAGACTTTACCATGGACAACTTTTTTTTTTTTTCAGTTTTTACCTTTTCTTAATTGCCCTTATTCCAAATGGATTCTTTGTACACTGCTGAATATTGTAAATTACCGTGTACATAAAACCACACTGAAAATAATGCCCTGGAATAGACCATCTCAGATGCTGCTTAACTACAGACTCAGGTTGACTACTTGTATTCCATGTAATGTTCCTCCAAGCTAGACATCTGGTGCACGGCCAACGGGAACCATGAACTTCAAAAGGACAAAACGACAGTGCGTCTATTTAATTTAAAGACTTATTTAAAGACCCAAGCTCTCATCCAGACCTTCGAGGGCTTCCTCTGCAATGTCTGATACTAGAAACTAATTTGCTTCACATTTTAGTTGTATTCAAGATTTGAAGATGTATTTTATAGACAAGTTCTGTTTTTGAACTTTGTGGAACTATTCCAATCAATTTACCAGTTATGATGAGTATTTGCATTATGAATGTATAATCCAGACATTATTTGTAAAGCCTACAGTATGTTTTTATTACCTTAACACTTTTTATACTGTGTCTCGTCTCGACAATATGATATTGGAGTCTGAGTCGTCAGCTTGATCCCTTCAAGTTTCTAGTTACAGACAAAAATCATACTGTGATTTTATTTTTAATATGGATATGCTATCAAACTGTGATACACTTATAATTCACTGGTCCTGCATCAGGAGACGGGAGTGGGGAAAGACTGTATTTAATACAGTGTGTATCTGAATAATCTGTATGGTTTATACAGTTTGTGTTGTTCAGAGATGTCTAAAGTTGATCTTTGTTTTTTTAAGATTAAAAAAGCACTTGCCCCACTGTATATACGGCATGTAAGATTTATATAGTATATAAATGGCAGCAAATTAAATGACTCTGTCTCAGTTTTACTCTGTTCTCCATGAGCTCACAGCCACGTCTGTTATGAAGAATTGAGTCTGAGGCAATTGTGTCTTAGCATGTTTTTATTTGGGAACACAGTATTTGCAATAGTTCTTGACAGCTCTAAGCCCTCCAATTTACTAGCTATTTGCTTTGCAATAAAATAGCCAGAAATTCTGATATCAACATTAATAGGATATTTCTTCATGCAGGTTGTAGGAGTATGTACATTGTATAACAAACACTGCAGAAATTAATAGATATGTACATTATTTACATAGTAACTTTATTGTAAATAGAAATGTTTTCTAAGATAAAAAGAAAGAAATCACTTGTGGTTTCTGGTCTGTAACAGACTGAACTGGTCAGCAAAGCATAGCTGTAGCTCTGGAAACCAGTGTGACATGAAGCACAGAAGGTTGCTCCTTCTCAACAGCTCCTGGGTAGAGTGGGACCACGTCACTCAAGTGTTCCGACACCTCCAGGGCCAGTCCACCTACACCTGAAAATGACAACCAGGGCCCAGCAGGACAGGAAATGGTCTTTGGCCAGAGTCGGGCTTAATGCTTCGATGAGTGCAGACAAAGGGCATGAGTATAACTGAGCCTCTGCAAACCTTGGAAGTAGCCAGATGCCCTTGGGGTTAACACTGTCACAACAACCTGAGTTAGGTGACTCCATGTAGATACTCTGAGAGCCAGTAACTTAGGATTCTTAGCACCAACAGCCATCAGGCAAAGTCCCCTCAAAGATGACTATGGCATTAAAGACACCATCCTCAACATCCAACAGAGCTCTGTATCCCCAGGACCATACCTGGGTTGGACATGAGAAGGCAGATTCACCAGAGTCTTGATGGAAAGGATGTGAGTTCCCACTCATATCCATACACACAGGTGCCCAACCAGCAGCAGGTTCTGTTCTGAGGTGGTAAAGGCTTAGGAGTAGGGATCATGGAAGACTGGAAGCCAGGCTACATACACACCAGGCATGCAGCTCAAAGGTTTCAAATCTGAGGTATTAATAAAAACCTAGAAGCTTGGGAATAAACCAAAAGGTGAGCAATCTGGTACATGAGGGAATTTCAGCCTTCGCCACCACCACCCCACAAAAATCTTATGTGACAGCTACCTCTGAGGCAACGAGCCTCAAGACAGCTCACAGAAAGTCATGTCTGAGTGCATTTGGTTGAAGGTTTTCAAGGACCGTCGGGATGCAAGCTCCAGGTGTGTCTGCACAGACAGACCAGGGAAGCAGCTTGGCAGGGAAGACCATTTTCCGAACAAGCCACATGCAGCCTCAAAAGGGTCCCCCAAATTATGAATGGGCCTCTCCAGAAGTGCAACAGAAGAGGTCTGACCACTTTGCCCAGTCTCAGCCCAAGCACACAGTCCCTGAAATCATACTGGCTTCTGAGTGCCATTTTCAGCTTTTCCCTCATTAAAAGAGATGCCAAATGTTGGAGACCTAGCACTACCAGAGGCTATGTGGGCTACTTCTGGCTGCTTATGTCTAGACACTACATCAAAATAGTGGATCTAGTTACTGTGTCAGTGAGCACTTAACCAAAAGTTTGAAACAGCAAGCAACAAAAGTACCGAAGCCAACATGGGCCATGTGCAGATGGAGCACATGGAACAGTCATGTGTGATGGTCAGACACGTAAACAGCCTGTCTCGAGGGAAAGGACTCTTATCTGCCAAGCCTTAACACTGACAGGATAAACATCCTGAGCCATAATCATATTTTAGTGATTTGTCTTAGAGAAGCACGTGAAGGAAGTGACAGCCACACCTGGAGTCTCCCAAGCATTCTGGTCCTCATGGTTACCCCAGGGCCTTGTCACCCAGATTGGCTGCCTGTGCCCCACCTGACACATCAGGCCCCCAGCTGCTCCCACTCAAAAGGTTGGAGGCTGCATATATAGACTGTGTTCAGTGCACAGTATATACTTGTGTCCAGGAGTTAAGTTTATAGCTGCCATTCTAAAAATACTACTGTTAGAAATTAAGCATCTTTCATTATAATTTTCAGAATATAAAAGGCATATAAAAGCTATAATCCTATATATCTGAGAAAAATTCTGAATAAAAAAAGTGGTAGGTTTTCCTTTCCCATTTTGATATAAAACAGCGACTTCTAGAACAGCTAGTGCTGCCCAAAAGAGTTGGTGTGGCGTGGTGTGGGCTGAGGCTCTGGCTCCAGAAAAGGAGTCCCGTGTGGGCTGTGCAGGTCCTGAGGCTGGGTCACCAGGTGCTGTGTGGACAAGGGTCCCCAAGGGTCAATGCCAGGGCAGTGGCAGGAAGGAAACACTCACAGCTGACCAACATCCCAGAGGACAAGGCTCTGGGGGCTTGGGCCTTGGCTAGCTGCTCTGGAGGACCCATGGGCACCACACTGCCCCCTCGTCCTGCTGCTTGTGAGTAGCCAGTGCATCCGCTGTGGAGTCTGGGTCTTGGCGTCACCTATTTCTTATTGGCAATCCTCCTTTTCCTCGTGGCCAACATGTCATAGAATGGGTCCCTACTGATGCTCGCTCTGGGGAGAAAGGAAGATAAGTGGGTTGTGACTGCAGGTTTAGATGCCCAGTCCCCCACACCCTACAGCACAAACAAGCAGCAGGTACAGGTCTGGAGCAGCCTTTCTGACAGTACAGGGATCTAACATGCACATGTGTGCTCCCACCCCTGCTCCCCGTGGGCCTGGCTGTCCTACTCACTTGATGGACTTCATCCACTCCTCCTTCTCTTCAGGGCTGGGGGCAGAGATCCGGTACACAACATGGTTCCCCTCCACCACACGGCCATCTGCCTCTGTCTTGCACGCTTTGATGACCTGCCCTTTATGACTGGGGTTGTACAGCTCAAAGCAGTTCTGGTAGAGAGAAGAGACCCATCACAGGGGCAGGGAGGGAGGGGAGGCTGCAAAGCTCTAGAGAGGAAAGACAGGCACAGGGAAATCTCGTACCGGTTTCCTAGGGTCCTCCACCTCCCTGATGCTGAGGTTCTCCAGCGGGATGATCCCCCTGGGCTCCTTGTCCTAGAAGAGAGGTGTGTGAGGCAAGGCCTGACAGACTGGTTCAGGCCTTTGGAGAGAGCGGCTGTGCAGTCACACTCACCGTAGTGTACTCAAAGTAGTAGAGGCAGTTATCTGTGAGGATGAACCAGCGCCGTTTCCAGGTCTTCACACGGCCCCCTAGGAGGAGGAGAGCCCCATGAGGCAGGTGCTCAGGTAGCCAGAGCCCAAGGGCCCGGAGAGGGGCCCAGAATCCCCAACCACATCACTGCCCTGTCAAAGGAGCCAAGCTCAAGACTGGGCTTGCTTTCTCTTCAAACCATCCCATATTGACCCCAGTTAGAAAGTGGGCAAGCCGTGAGGCCTGACCACCCAGGATGGCTGGGTGCAGGGCTGGGACCCCCATGCACCCTCCCACCCAGGGCCCACACAGGTGCCCTCTCTCCATGGCCACCCAAGGGTCACCCTAGGTCATACATGGCTTTCAAATTTGCCTCCTGGAAAAGTTAGTTGTAATGGATGGGTGTAATTTCCCCCATGAAATGAACACGATGAAGTCAGTGCCGGCTCACCCAGGTCTGTCCAGGCTTAATCCTGTTACGTCAGGGCAGTTATCGCATTACTGGGACTTTGAGCAGCCCTGGGATCCATCAAAGTCAATTACCCTTGGCCCAGGGAATTATTAGATTGAATTAATCTTTTAACAAGATCTAGAGCACATGTGTACACACACACACACACACACACACACACACACACACAGATAATCTATACAAGCTCTTTACTATGGGAAGGAACCCTCTATCCTACCTTATTTGTTGCTGTCAGTCAAAATTATTTCTACTGACAGCTTTTGCTTTTGACAAAAAGTTTGAAAAAAAAAAAAGGAAAAGTTGCTTGTGGTAACAAATTCAGTGCTCCCAGGGGCTTCAGGGGAGATGCCCTCCCCCTGCCCCAGGGGCTCCCAAAGCTAACAGTGGCAATGCAGAGGAACTGGCTTGGCTTTCTCTAAACATGCCAGGAGGTGGGGAGGATCTGCAGACCAATGCAAGGTGCTGGGAAGTGCAGACAGACTGTGGGGGCACAGAAGGCGCCCACAGTGAGGAAGAAATTTCCCAGGCAGTTACAGAGACCCCAATACAGGAAGGAATAGGGAAGATTGCTTTACCCTGACAGAGTGCCTAGAGTCTGCAAAGTAGGGAGGAATCACCAAAGCACAGTGGGATGCTGGGCCAGCCCAACCCCTTCACCACACCACACACCCTTGGCCAGAAGAGCCTTCCCTTTGGCTTCTCCTGCCTGGAGTGACACCTCTTTTCTCACACCGTCTTTCCTGATGGTTGCACTGGACCCCTGTTCCCCAAATTACACCTTCCTCAATCAGGGGTTGTCTCATGCCATAACACACAGGAAACTAGGGATTTATGGGAAGCCCCAGCCTATGCAGAACCCCAGAAGAAACTCAGTTTAGCCTTTCTTCTCCCAAAAACCTTCAGGGAAGAGGAACAGAGAAAGGCATGCCAAGATCTAGCCATACTCGCTTCTCTGAGGCACTCACTCTTCCAGGCCAAGGCAGTGCCAGAATCAGATGAGAGCAAGCTTGCAACTCAGGCAGTTGCCGCTAGTGTGTTTCCTCTCCTTCCCTCAGAGAGGTCCAGGTAGACATCCCAGGTACACGGGTGCTTACTAGCAATAGCCAGGAGAGTACTTGGAAATTTACCCTTCTCTCCCTCCCCAGCATAGGTTCCCCTTTGGCAGAGCTGCTCCAGGTCTCTCTGTGGAAGCACCCCTGCCAAGCGCCTGTTCCTCCTCTGTGCTGCCATTGTGGCTGTCAAGCCCTTCTGTGCTCTGCTCAGCCTCAAGCCCCCTGGGAAAGGTCAGTCAAGCATGGGGTCACAGCTGCCCAGAATGGGTATTTGTGAGGCTGGAGGACCCCTGGACATCCCCACTGCTTCCATGGTCAGGATGATTAGGGGAGCCTGGCTCTAGGTTGCCCAGCAGGGATCCCATTCAGTCCAGATGCGGACCAAGTAGGGGCAATGCCCCAAACTTGAAGCCACAGCAGATTGTGCTACAATCTTATATCCAGCCCTGTGCACAGATCCGTGCTCCCAAACGCTTTCATGTTTTTAGAGTTTCCCTTTCATTGCTGTCCTCAAGTATGTGGAGGCGGACACACATAGCTGTACACACATGAACACACTGACACGAGAATGCCCACATCAACGTTTTCTTGCATGACAATTCAATCCTAACCACAGCCTGTTTCTGACATGAACAGTTCAAACTCCAACAGTGTGCACAGCCCCACCAAGACTGCAGAATGCGTCCAGCATGCCTTCCCCCCTCTTGACACTTCTGGAGAAGTACCAGCTGGCTGTGGCAAATGCTAGGTTTGGGCTCCTCCACACAACTGAAGGAAGCCAGTGGGCACAAGTGCCCATGGGTACCAGGCACTTGGAAAAGGCCAGTGAAAGCCAATTCTGCCCACCAGCTTGCTAGGGTGACATCAACAGGTAGTGCCTCATGTAATCATGGTTTTGGCCTCAGATCACCCCTAGAGCAGGGTGAACCAGTGCCTGCTGGTGTGCGGGAGCCCACAGTGCCAGCGCTGCCTGCAAAGGTGGGCCTCAGGTCCCAGCATCTGGCTATGCTGGGCCAAGGCACAGACCAACAGCACAGCTAAGCGCTCTGCACTTATTTCATGGCCTGCTTAAGTGTCCAACCAGAAAATGGGCTGGGCAACATGAGCTGGTTTCACTCGTTCATTTTCATCCAGGGACTGGGCTCTTCCTAGTGGCAGAAGCCACACCAACTGCCAGGAAGCTGTGGTGCCATCATCCCTCAGGAAACTGCTGGTGGCTGGGATGCACGCTTCCTCTTTTCTCTATCCACAGGCACAGTGTGTGTGGCCAAGTCACTCAAGGGTCCACACTCAAGGTTACTGCACTTGATTTTAAGGCCAACACTGGGACATTGATTTCTAAACTCTGACATAGAGCAAAATTAAGAGCAATGGCCAAGGCCAAAGTTGGGAAACAGCAGACCCTCAGGGGAGCCCCATCAGCTGGACCTGTCACATGTCTCCGAGTCACAGCCCAGCCTCCCTTGGTCCATCATCAGAACTCTATCCCGCAGGTCTTTCTTATTACACAGAAATAATATTACCTGGACAGGGTGCTGTCACACGTCACAGGCTTTCTGTCAGTCTACGGTTCTTTCAACCCCTCAGAGTCAAAAGAAGCTAAAAATTTCAATTGTCCCAAGTGCAGGAATCAATTAAGTCTCCAATAAGGAAGCCTTTGTACAGGTGCCACACTGTTGGTTAGTGGGGGTAGGGTAGCACTGTAAGACAGGCTGGTTACCAGCTTCCTCCCTGCTGCAGGGCTCTGAAGATGGGGGCAAGCATGTTCCCATAGTTTCCCCATGCGCACACTTCTGGTCCCAGGAGCTCTGGGCCCTGCCCATGATGGATGGGTCTCACACACACTACACCTGCACAGTGCTGCCCCAGCCAAGTCCAAAGCCAAATGGATCAGATGAATGGCAACCACAGACTGGAGCTTCACACAGACCAACGTGGGGGAGAAAATGAGCCGCTGGGGAGGGGAGGAAGCCACTGGGTACCTACCTCCTAGTGCAGGACAAGCAGGGACAGCCCATCACAGAACAGAAAGGTGGGAGCCACAGGCAGAAGGAAACAAGAAGGTACATTTAAACCACTCGTCAGGATCACAGCCACGCCAAAGCACGAGAGCACACAGCTTGTGGAGATAAAGGCACTTGCTCCTCAGGCAGAGAACTACCTGGATTCACGTGGATACTAACTCAGGAGCTTTCTGGGATGGGTCGTGCAGTGGGTGCTGCAACCATTGCCCGCTCTGGAAGGTCACGACTCAGTGACACAGCCACCAGTGTTAGGTGAGCGGCTGCCCAGAGTGGTCTCTGGCTTGACTGCATTTTTCTTTTTAAGCTTTCTGCCTTGTAGTTGGGGGCTGTGGCTCCAAGGAAGGAGCAGGGCAAGAAGTCCCCGGGAGCTGCTGCTGTGGGCCGAGGGGTGTGGGTGCAGGTCCCACCCTGCCAGGCTCACCCAGCTTCAGCAGCCAGCCTTCTCGATCTGGGTTGAAGAACGTGTGTGTCAAATCATTCCCGTCATCTTCTGGGATCTTAAATGGCTCATTCTTGATACTTTCATATAAGTTCTGTAAGGAGGAGAAGAGCCGATCAGGGGCTGTACCAAGAAGCAACATCCTTCCTCCCTCCCGCACAGAGTCCCACACAGCCTGAGAGACCAAGCGGTTACGAAGACACTTGGAAAGTGCCTTTGAAACCACTAAGCTAGCATTACTGATTTTCATTGGATTAAGAGAATTTAATAGTAACTTCAGCGGTTGGGAGACGGCTCAGTTGATGAAATGCGTGCCTGCAGGCACGGAGACCCAGTTTTGGATGTGCAGTTCCTATCTAAACATAAGAACTGAGCTTTGGTAGTTTGTGCTTATTATCTTCTCTAAGACGACAGAGACAGGAGATCCTTGGTACTTATTGGCCAGTGAGAAACCCCCGTCACCGAAAAACAAAAACAACCATCTGGAGATGAGATGGCTCAGCAGGCCAAGGCACTTGGGCACACAAGCCTGGCAACTTAAGTTCCATCAGCAGAGCTCACGCACATGTGAAAGGAGAGAAGCAACTCTACAAAGTTGTTCTCTGACCACCACATGCTACCACCCAACATACATCATGCATGTACACACAATAAAAATAGTAATAAGTAAAAAATAAGGCAGAGAAATGATTGATGGAGAAACCAAACACTGACCTCAACCCTGCCCACCCCCCCATACACACATGAGTAGGAAAATCCCACATGACAGGGCAGGAGACGACGATGGTTAGTCTTAATTGTCAGCACGGCACAGTCTAGAACCACCTGAGAAGGAAATCTCAGTGAGGGACTGTCTAGATCAGGCTGACCTGTGAGGAAGGAGGCCTAGCCCAATAGTGGGTGGTTGATCCCTGGGTTTGGAGACATAAAAACAGAGTGACCAGGCGCTCCCAGTTCCTGCCTTGACTGCCTTGACTGTGGTCTAGACTTTGTAAGGTAAATAAGCTCTTCCCAGTGCAGTTGCATTTTTTCAGGGTATTTTATCATAGCGACAGAAATGAAACCGGGGCAGACACACAACCGGGAAGCTGCCTGCAGACTCACCCTCAGCAGCTCCTCAGGAAGGTCCCCACCCTCGTTGATGCCGCGGTTCATGGTGATGAAGCGCTCGGCAGTAGGCTTGTCTCGCACGTTGTGGTTGTGCAGGCTGGTGTTGAGCATGATGATGGCAAAGGACAGCACGTAGCATGTGTCTGCAACAAGACACAAGGTGGGGAGGCCTGAAACTCAGCTTGCATTTCTACAGGGAGAGTGGTGCCCTAGGAAGTGCTGCCAATGCTGCTTCCCTGGCAGAACGGCGTGCCCACTGAGGGGTGCTTCTCTACAGAGGCAGTGGGGGGTTAATGGAAGCTATGGGTGGGGGCATCTCGACGCAGGGATGTGCAGGCTGCTGACCTGTGGACTGGAAGACCCCAGGGTTGCACAGGCAGTATCGTGAAGCGAAGGCCTCCATCATGCGGTCAATCTTCTGTGCCTCTCCAGGAAGTCTGAAGCTCCATAGAAACTGCCTGTAAAGACAGAGGATGCTTCACTGAGTGACCTTGGGAGGATAGATCTGGCCAGACCCCCAAGCAGTTCCTGATCACCCGGCAAGAGCACGGCCTGCTCAGTCTGAGTGCCCAGAACTACCATGAGGTCAGCTGAAGACTGCTGGTTGCTCCTTTTGTGTAACTACAAACTCTTCTTCAAGATCTGCTACAGATGCCTCAAACCTCAACAGGATCCCAGCATGCTCTGCCCCGCCCCCATGGCACCACCTCCTACATGGACATTCCAGGTGATCCCCAGGGTCCACTATGCCTGTAGCTGCTACAGTATTGGCAGGATAATGGATCCTCTCCTCTCAGGACTCCTCACCAAAGCAAGGTGGGGACAGGGTCAGAGTCAGCAGTCAGCAACCAGCGCCCACCCACACCTGCCAGGCCACAGCCACAGCCTGCTGCTGGGTCACCCCTGCCTCAAAGGAGCAGGCCCAAGCACACAGATGCTCCTGTCCTCAGAAGCTCCTCTCCCACTAAGGTCTCCCCTGGTTGCCCTATGTGACACCGTAGCTCCTGCCCTGCATCTTCAACTCCTCGCATCGCTTTCTCAGGCTACAAGGCACCCAACCAGCATTCTCCACCTGCGTGCCTTAAGTACCAACAGAAAGGTTATGGCTATCCTGCTTTCCAGAGCCACGCTGGCCTGTGAGGCTCATAACCAGCCTTACAGTAATGGCTGAGTATGTCAGACCTAGAGGCCACCTTAAGACATGGCTAACACAGTGATACAAGGGAGGACCTGCTCTTTCTCTGGGCTCCCACGCCTATGCAAGTCCTTTAAGAAGGACTGTTTCCTCTAGGCCTGTCCACCACTCCCTCCTCCTTACCACTGCCCCCACTCCCAGGGGATTCCTGCCACAATCAGGCACTCGCTCAATAGCATCACACACAGATGCTCTATTCCCACTTTCAAGACAGCCTCCAGAGCCACTTTCCGACTCTGCCCCACATGGTCAGCAAAGGACCACAGACATGCTGTCCTTGCCCCATCAGAGCAAGTTCCTCAGTTCTGACCCCACCATGACCATCCTGCCCACAAGTCTGAGGACCTCTTACCCAGCCTCACACGTTATTCCTACAGCAACAAGCTTCTATCAAGAAGCACCGGAACAGGCATCAGCAATGCCCGTCATCTTCCCCGCACCCACAGCAGACTCTGCACCATTCTGAGCATGTCCCACTTGCATCCCTGATTAGGCCCAAGGACAGAGAGGAGATAATGCCACAGGTCAGGCACAACCAAGACAGAATCCACTGGAGCAAACCCAATTAGGCAGCAGCTACTTACTCTCATTGGTCTGGTGGAGAGGTCAGCTAGGCTCTGCCCTCTGACTCTAAGGCAGACAGAGTGAGAAGAGCAGAACCACAGTGGTGATGGCTATGCCATGGACTAGCCCTCAGGTTCATTAGCTCTGAGCCTTTCTCTGCCCATACAGTTCTCCAAACGTGAACCTAAAATCAGCTAAACAGGTCTGTGAGACTCCTGTAGGGCTTTTCTGACACAAGCTTTTCAGCCCAGGCTGAGGGCTGAGCAGGGCCCCAAGGGCCACAACCAAAGGCTGCCAACATTCCAGTCTGCAGCTGAAGGAAGGTTGTGTAAACACCTCCAGAGGCAGGAGGAGAAGGTATGAAGACACGACCAGACAAGGCCAGCTATGTATGCTGAGCTTTGGGTGACACCAGACTGGGTGAATCCACAAGGTCAGTCCTTGTTACACTTCTGCCTACACCCCAGGGTAAAGACCCAGTCCAAATGTCATGCCATCACAGAAGACAAGATGCCATTTGCTCAAGACTGCCAACCCAGCATGAGTAGGAATCCAGATCAGCACTGAACACTGAGGCTATCCCCTTCACTCACAGTACGGTCTATAGTGGCAGTGGCTTTCCTCAGACCAGACAGAGACCACAGAAGGACATCTGATGGTTCCATCTACATCCTCCTTGGCACACCCATATGCCTGGGGCCTGAGGCTAACCCTAGTGACAACAGGACAGAGAGACACTGAGGCTGTCAAAAGTATAGCACAGGAAGCATGCACACATACAAGCTGGGATGGTTAACTTCCACTGTCAACTTGACCTGATATAGAGTCACCATGGAAATAAACCTGTGGGTCTACCGCTGACGTTATTTCCAGAAAGGGTTAAATGAGGAAGACCCATCCTGAATGTGGGTGGCATCATCCCATGGACCACAACTTTCTCTCCTACCTCCCATCTCCACAAAACCTGTAAGAGCAAGAAACTACTCCCCTTCTTAGGATGGAAGGATCTGTCTCTTTCCTTTTAGGCCCCTACGTGCTATACATGGTGCTGCTTCTACTTAAAAGCCTGGAACTCTCCTCATAAAGCTCTATGGAGAGCTTGCTCTATCTATCTATCTATCTATCTATCTATCATCTATCTACCTATCTAGCGTCTGTCTATCTATCTATCTATCTATCTATCTATCATCTATCTACCTATCTAGCGTCTGTCTGTCTGTCTATCTATCTATCTATCATCTATCTACCTATTAGCGTCTGTCTATCTGTCTATCTATCTATCTATCTATCTATCGTCTATCAATCATCTATCTATCTATCTATCTACCTACCTACCTATCATCTATCTATCTATCTATCTATCTATCATCTATCTATCTACCTACCTACCTACCTATCATCTATCTATCATCCATCTACCTATCAATCATCTATCTATCTATCTATCTATCTATCTATCTATCTATCGTCTATCAATCATCTATCTATCTATCTATCATCTATCTATCTATCATCTATCTTTCTATCTATCTATCATCTATCTATCAATCTATCTATCTATCATCTATCTATCTATCTATCATCTATCTATCCATCTATCTATCTATCAATATATCTATCATCTATCTACCTACCTACCTACCTACCTATCATCGCCTCACCTTCTTTTCTACAAACCTGTCAACATCTTTTATCATCTACACTTACACCTTAGACAGCCGCTACACCTTCCCCGCCATGACAGACTGCACCTTCAAACCATGAGCCAAGACAGAACCTTCCTTAAGTCCCTTCCCCCAGGAACAAGTAAGGGAACAGCAAATGCAGGGACCCCAGAATGAAGGACAGCAAAAAACCCGAGAAGGTGCAGAAAACAGTGGCTACAGCAAGGCAAGCATGCAGTCCATCCCCAAACAAGTCTGGTTTCCACCCAGGGCTGCCGAGTGCCACCCAGGAGAGAACACAGAGGCTGATCTGTCGAAACTACAGCTACTGGGGACTGGGTGGGGGTCCATCAGAGTCACTCTGAGTGACTACTGCCACTCCAGCCTTCCCATCTGTCTATACATGCCATGAGGCAACCACTCACCTTAAGGCCTGGACAAGGTTGAGATCAGCAAACTCATGAAGCTCAACAAAAGCCTGAAGAACTTTGATATTAAAATCATCCCTAGGAAAGAAGAGAAAGCATCTGAGCTGCTCTGGAGAGAAGGCATATATAAATGGCAGGCCTTTTCAGGCAACGGTAGTTCACTACAAGCAGCCATGCCCTTCACTGTAAATTTGTTTTAGAATTTTTATTTATTTTGTTCTTTGAGGCAGAGTCTCACAAAGTTGCAGAAAACCTGGAACTCAGGATCCTTCTGCCTCCACCTCCCAAGTGCTAGGATTACAGGCATGCGCCCAGGGCCAGTAGTTTTCAGACTTAATGCAAAGGACACCTGTGTGGCTCTCTGAGGAGAACTTCATAATGGGCAGGAGCTGGGAAGGAACCCACCACAAACCCTCAACTCATCTTCAGGCACACGAGCGAGGCCTGGGACCTGTACATATTCTGGAACTTTCAAAATGGCCCCTTAGCAAGGTTTTGCTCTGGTCTCTGCTTCCCAATGGGGTTTTGAGTGTGAGAAAAGGAGAAGCAACATTCTCAGGTCCTAAGTCATAGAGTGTAGGAGACCAAGGAAATCTGGGCGGGAGGGGGAGGGGGGGACATAATACATCATATTAGGGATTTTTGTTTTGCTTTGTTTTTGGAGGCTGGTGGCATCAGGTCTCATTCTGTAGCCTAGATTGGAATGGAACTCACTACATAACCCAGGGACTATAGCATAGGGAACTCATTAAAACATTACTGCTTCAGCCTCATGAGTGCTGGGGTTACTGGCATGAATCATAAGCCCTATCATATTGGTTTTTAAATGTAAAACATGAAAATACAATAAAGAGTAACTTTTTATTTAAATAGCAATAAAAAGAAAAATGATGCATCAGTGTGTTTCACTGGATGTCAGCTTAAATCGTGCTCCAGGCCTGCTCACCCTGTGCTCAGAGGACATCCCTAGAGCACAATGCCAGGGTCCAGCTGCCCTACCAGAGGACTGGCACCCACCACACCTGGGGAATAGACCAGGCCTGGCCTGAAGACCACATCTGCTCCACACAAGCACCAGGCACGCTGTACGCAGTGGCCAGAGCTTAGTGCCGTCTGCCCCCAGGGCCATCCCTCCTGCGGAAGTCTCAAGTTAAAAGGAGGGAGCTTAGGGTCAGCACTGGGAAGATGAGGTACTGTTGTCTCCAAGGCCCTTGATGGCTTCTTAGCCTATGGCCCCAGAAGGGGGCATGAAGAAACCTTCCCAGGAGGCAATGCAAGGCCTGTCCTGATCGTGCAACACTGCACTGGTCCGATGATCCACTAAGCTGGTAAACTCTCAGCACTGGGCAGACTTGGGCCAGGAGTGTGTCCACAATGCACACTCTTCTGCCACTCAGTGGAGAGGGAGCAGCTGTGGCAGCCAGGTTAGGGCCACAGCTAAGGGGCCAAGGCCTGTGACCACATCAGCTGCCAGAACCTCAGGGAGTGGTGAAGCCCAGAGGCAGTGTTAAAGACAGATTCCCATCTCTTCAGCATTCAGGGTTTGGGATTGGCACTGTTCAACCTGCAAGACTTCTTTATATTTGCTAGCTGTGTTCTTATCAGATGTCAAGTAGGATTTCAAATGCTCCTCTCCAAGGAGAGGGGCTTATTCTCTTTATTTTATTTTATTTTAGCTTTCAGTTTTTAGTTTTCAAGGCAGGGTTTCCCTGTGTAGCCCTGGCTGTCCTTTAACTCACAGAGATCCACCTGCCTCTGCCTCCCAAGTGCTGAGATCAAAGGCCTGAGCCATCATTCCCCAGCTTTTTTCTTTAACTCCCCCACTCCTTCTTTAGAGTATAGTCTGAAGCAAAAATAATAATTTGGGGCTACTGAGTTGACTCAGCAAGTAAAGACACTTGATGTAAACCTTGATGTAATCCTGAGCTTGATTCTAGAACATGGGGAAGGAACAGAGACCCAACTCTCACAGGTTAGCATGTTAGCATCCACACATGTTCACACATACAAATAAATGTGCAAAATGTTTAAATTTTTGTGGTGTTCAGTTGACCTCACTTCTTCAATTGTTTTGCCTTTGGGCACTAGACCTAAGAAACCCTTGCAATAACAGGATCATGATGATTTGCATGGTTCTAAGCATTTAATGGCTTGACATTTGTGTCTTGGACCCATATTAACCTCTGTGTATAGTGAGGAGCCCAATATTTCTCTCACAGACGTCATCTGTCATCAATGTTGGGGTCATTCCTTCCCCACTCAAGTGTCTTGCATTACATGTTAAAAATCATTTGATAGTAAATATAGGTGTTTATTTCTGGATTCTCAATTCCATTCTATCATCTTCTAGACCATTTTTATATTTATGTTTATTTATGTGTGTATATACATATACACACACACACATATATAGCAGGGGGTGTACATGTGAATTCAGGCACATAAACAGTCGGAAGAGGACAACAGACCCCCTGGAGCTGGGGTAACAGGCAGCTGTGAGCCGCCAGATGTAGGTGCTGAGAATGACCTTAGCAGCACATTGAAATGCTCCAGCCTGATGAGCCACCTTTCTATCCAGTCTTTATGATTGTCTACATCCGCCTTTTATGACAGTATTGCATGTTTTGATCGGTATAATTTTATTTTGTAATCATAAAGTGTTTTTTTCTGAAGAAGAACCTTCCACATTATTAGTTTGCTGACTTTTGCAAAGAAGTCAAATGGGATTCTGCTGATGTATTAGATCTACCCATCAAGATGGAGCATACTGACCATAGCAAGACTACTTCCCAATCCGTCAGCATGGGATAGATTGCCATCTGCTTGGATCTTTTCACTGGTTTCATCTGCACATCTTCTGTTAAACTCACTCCTAGTTCTTCCCAATGCTGCTACAGTTAGAACTACTTTCAGTCTGCTCAAAGACACAACTGCACGGAACAGCTGGCTGTGGCATTCTGAGCTAGTTTCAGTCTGCTCACTGAGACACAACTGCACAGAACAGCTGGCCGTGGTATACTGAGCCCGACTCCTGTGACCTTACTGAGCTTGCCTGTTCCCACTAATAGTTCAGCATGTATCCTGGCTAGGTTTACTGTCAGAACCTTGGGCATAATAAGCAAGCATTCTACCAGTAAGCATCACTAAAGCTCTTTAACTGACTTATAAACTAACTGGCCTGGGCTAGAAATGCCAGTAGTCAACAAATAGATGAGAGACTGAACAAAAATAAATGGACCTTTAGCTGAAGTGGGGAAAGTCACCTCAAGTGACAGGGAAAATCCCGAGAAGCCTAGGCTGTTTCTGGACCAACCTGCAGAAGGCGAGGCTTTCCAGGTGTGGAGGGGGGGATGACACTGATGACTGAGAGAAGGACTCCAATGGGACACAGATCCTACCTGACCCTCAGTCACCTTCCTTTGTTGTGTGTCTTTTCTGCTACTTTATCTAAGAAATCCCTGTGTAATTCTGGACCATTAAGGTTCAGTTCACTCCTACGCTTTCTCTTAAGTATGGGTTGCTTTAATTCTTCTATTTAGGTCTCTGGTCCACTTCACCTCTGGTATGATGAGATCCCAGCGGCCTGTCCTCAGGAGGATCCCAACAACACCGGGTCAGCACTGTCCTGCCGTCTGTCCTCCAGAGCTGCAAGAGGATCCTCGGCTTACCTCTCACCCAGGTAGTCTCCAATGACGGTCTTGTTCAGGCCCTCGCCTTTGTAAAGAAACTGGGCGACATCCTCTGGGGAGCTCTGCAGCAGGTCGTTCTCAATGAGGAACTGAATGCCCTGAGGAACAAGTGAGACGGAACACACGGGTCAGGACATCCACTCATTATCCTCTCAAAGTTGGCAACATGCTTTGCCCAGTAATCCGGCAGGTCTGGACACAGGAAAATGCCAGACCATGGAGATTGCACAGCCTGACTTCCAAAATGTCATACGTGTTTCAGCCACTCAAGAAAGAGATGCTATGTTCATCAAGAGTTATATAGAAGTTTTAAAAAACCATCAGATTTGTAAAGTTTGGGGAAACCACGTCTTTCCTGTCTCACAGGACCTCACTGTGGGAGAGAAGCTGCCATGGGACAGTCAATTCCCAACCACCAACCCTCCTGACAACTGCATGTCTATCTGTACACTACATGCATGCCTAGTTCCTGCAGAGGCCACAAAATGGCCAGATCCCCTGGGACTGGAGTTACACAAGGTAATGAGCCACCAGGTGGTGCTGGGAATTAAACCTAGTCCTTTGGAAGAACAGCTGAGTCTTCTCTCCAGCTTCCCACCTTTTAAAAAAGAAATATTTTTAACTTAGTAAAAATTTAAATTATTTATGTGTGTGAGCCCATGTACTGATCACAACCAGAGGACAGCCTGCAATGAGTTGGGTCTCTCCTCCCACCATGGGGTCCTAAGGATGGAACTCAGGTCTACAGGTATGGTGGTGTGTTTTCCTGATGAGCCATCTGGCCAGATCTCCTTATTCATTATGATTGTGTGTTTCATGCATGAGTGACATACATGTGTTACATGTGTATGTGGAGGTCAGAGGACAATCTTCAGGAATCAGTTTTCTCCTCCCACCTGGACAATTGGGGATTGGACTCAGGTTGTCAGGCTTGTGTGACAACTGCTTGTATCTGATCTTGCCACCCCGCCCCAACCAACCCTTTTATTCCGCCACCTTACCCCAGGTGGCTCCCCTTACGTCCAAATGACCTGTCACACAGGTCTGGGCAAGCAGCCATAAGAGGAAACCTGTAGGAATGACTTTCACTGCCATTCCTCTTTCTTCCTGTGTTGAACTCCACATAATGGCCAGAACCACAGCATCTCTTGTATGAGGGAAAGACCGAGGTAAGCACCTTGCTCCTGTCACTTGGGAGCCATTTACTGCCATAGCAGCTATTCAATAAAATACAACTCCACTGTGTAACCAGCTGTGGGGGGGGGGGCGGGACTGGGTGTTCTGTTCCTTGGGTCAAAAGCATGTTAACCAGCACACTACCACCGAGCTCACACCAGCTGAGCACATGCTAACCGGCACACTACCACCGAGCTCACACCAGCTGAGCACATGCTAACCGGCACACTACCACCGAGCTCACACCAGCTGAGTACAACCCACTTTAAGAACCTATGAAGTGTAGCTGCTAGTGTCAAGAGAAGAGGTTGGCCCAGGCCTGAGTCAGCTGCACTGCACCATCTCACGGGAACTCCCAGGACCTGCTACAACAGCAAGACGTGCACAACTTGAAAGCTGGTTTCAAGCTACCTTACACCAGGTTAGAACACAGGAATTCTGCTATCTATGTGCCAAGAGGCATTTCTACAAATTCAGAGCGGCTTTTCAAGCTGAAATTCCAGGCCTAAGCCTGCTTTGGCTTCCTCATACACCCACAGTCCATCTGGCAGCCTTATTTAGCATTTTCAAAAACTTCAGGCAGCAGCAGACAACCAGTAAGAGAAAAGACAAAGATGGAAGACTGCAACTAGATGGAAAGAACAAAACGAACGTGAGGCTTTACAAACCCGGTACAAAGCAAAAGGCAACACAAAGGTACATGTGTGTAAATATATGCAATTATTGGGAGCATGGCACATACATGCGGATGTACACATGAAGGTGCTCATGCCCGGAGGCCCTAAGTTGATGCCATGTCTTCTTGATTGCGCTCCACTTTTAACTGACTGAGGCAGGGTCTCCCACTAAACCTAGAGCTACTAATTGTGGCTAATCTATTTAGCTACCTTGAACCACGGTTTTCTTGTCTCTGCCTCCCAAGTGTGGGCACCACAAGTAGACACTACATCTATGCAGGTTTTATATGGGCTTGGGGATCCAATCTCTGGTTCTCAGACTTGCACAGCAAACACAATATGCACTGAACTATCTCCCCAGTCCCAGACAGGTATATTTTCATTCTGCTCGCACGCAGTTTTAAAAAAGCAAACCTAATTTTGGTAATAGTGTGGGATACCTGGGGGAATGGATTTGAGACACAGTGGCCCCAGAAAGGTGGCCTACAATGTTCTGCTAGTACATTTTGTTCTGGGTTGAGGGTTTTGTTTCTTAATTTGTCAAGATGATTCAAATCTTACATTTAAAATTTGTGGGCCATGTAACATGTCATTTAAGTCTGACAGTCCTAAAGTTAACTCTTACATATTTCTGATGGGAATGGAAAAGGGCATATCCACTTGGGTGCTACTGTGAAAGCCACACGCACACATACACACGCATGTACATCTGTCCTGGAGCATGGGATAAGAGCCAGCAGCACTGCTGCTCTGTGCTCGCACTGTGACTTGTTCACCAACCATCCAGATAGGAAGAAGTAGGAGCAAGTAGAGATAGTGAGCCAGCAGCCAGCAGGACACAGCACAGGGATACCCTTGGGGTCAGTAAGGGAAGGGCAATCATAGGAGGGTAGGCAGAAGTTTACTAACACCTCAGGGTCAAAGGTCAATACTTCAGCATTATAGAACCCTGCTAGGGTTATTAGAATTCAAAAGACTAACAGTGAGCATAAATCGTTAAGTTTGCTACCCTGAAATCTGCCAAAGGCAAGGAGGAGGGCATCTGAAAGAACCCAGGATTCTGGAACAAAGCCTCATGGAAGCAGAGCCCGAGGTGGGTCTGGTCCAGGACACCTTGACTGTGACTATGATACCCCAGGGACTGAGTTTGTGGCCATTTTCCCTCAAAGAGCTCAATGCCCCCTAGGCAGACGCAGATATTCCCAGTGCATCTTTGTCACCTGGCTCCCCTATCCCCCAACCTGGGGCTTCTGAGTCTGTGCTCTCAAGGCTGAGTGTGCCAGACCCTGGAACTCAGGCTCGGCCAGGTCAGAGCGAGCTTGTGGAACACACTGTCTAGATGTTTAGGACCTGCCCTGAGCCTCCACCCTCCCAAAGAACTAGGTCTCTGTAACAGCTGATCCTGACTGACAACCTGACCGCACTTAGAATGACCTAGGAGAAAAGCCATGGCTGTGAGGGGGCTATAAGAGAGTTTTAACTGAGAGCAAAAGACTCCACCCTGAAGTGGGTGGCACCCCTTCCGTGGGCTGGATGCTTGGACTGAATAAAAAGGAGTGAGCTAGCTGAGTCCCAGCACTCATGGCTCCGCCTCACACTAGAGCTAGCATGCCTTCCCACTGCAATGGCCTGCATGCACTCCGACCCTCCCTCCCTAAGGTCGCATTTGTTAGGTTGTATCACAACAGTGAGACAACTAATCAATACAACTGATTTTGGAGTGTGTAGACCATCAAGGATGTGAGAAAGTCAAATAGGACAAGGTCACTTCTGGCTTACAAGACACACACGAGACACGAAGAGGCCCCCAGTAAGGAAGGGTTTTCTCTGCAAGAGACACAAGCTCTGGTCATGGGAAACAAGGAAGCCACTAGTGAGTTCAGGCAAACATATGATGGCTAATCTTGTCAACCTGACTGGACTGAGACACCTAGGTCAGTGACGGACATCTCTGGGCACTCTGTGACAATGGTTCCAGACATGATTAGACTGGAATAGACTAGATTTTGAGGGCTCTGACTTCAGTAATGTTAAGAGTCTTCCAGGTTGGCAGATTAAAGGTAGAAAAGCTGTGGAAGATAGGGTCTGGTACGAGGAAATGGGCTGATGGGGTATGCATTTGAAAGGTCTATCTGGCCCCGCCCTGCTTTTCTCTGTCTTCTGTCTACATGAACAGAGGGCCATTGCCACGCGTTCTACTCCACAACGTTCTGCCTCACCTCAGGTCCAAAGCCATGCATCGATACGACCATGACAAACTCTAAAACCATGGGCCCAAACTAATCTTTCCTCCTTTAAACTCATCAGGGATCTGCCGCAGCGATGAAGAGTCTAAAACAGACTGTAAGCAGAGAGGAGTTGAAAGCCTGAGACCAAGAAAGAAAGAGCTCCATGGGGCGGGGTAGGGGGTGGGAGACACAGGCAAGCCAAGGACACAGGAGCAGGCACACTTTGAGTATGGTGATGAGTATTCTTAAAAAGGAGCAGTTAAGCCCAATATGGCAGTGCACACCTTTAATCCCAGCACTCAGGAGGCAGAGTTAGGTGGATCTCTGTGAGTTCGAGGCCATCCTGGACTACAAAGTAAGTTCTAGGCCAGTCAGAGCTGTTACACAGAGAAACCGTCTTGAAGTAAAAAACAAAGAAACAAAGAATAGTTACACCAGGTGTGGTGGGTGGCACACGCCTGTAGTTCCAGCACTTCAGAGGCTAAGGCAGGATGCCCTCTAGTTCTAGGCCAGACTGGATTACAGTGAGAGAAAGTACACAGAAGAGAAGGCCATGATAGAGGCTGGAGGGTGTGTTCACAGCTAAGGAGCACCTGCTGGCAATCACTGGCAACTAGGAGAGAGGCCTGAACAGACTCCCTCTCCATGTCTAAGGGCGTTCCTCTTGGACTCCTTGTTTCCTGTAGGAGGATTAACTATTTTTGAGTCTTTTTGTTTGTTGGTTTCTCGAGACAGGGTTTCTCAGTAGCTTTGGAGCCTGCCCTGTAACTAGCTCTTGTAGGCCAGGCTGGCCTTGAACTCGCAGAGCTGGGATTTAAGGGACGTGCTGTCACCACCTGGCTATTTCTGGGTCTTAAGCCATCTAGTTGTGGTAATCTGTTACAGAAGGTATAGGGTACTACACATTAGACAATACTTATAAAGGAAACCAAATGTCTCAGTAAAATTCAATTTATTTATTTGTTAATTTATTTTTGAGACAGGGTTTCACTGTGTAATCCTGGCTGGCCTGGAACTCACTTTGAGGACCATGTTGGCCTCGAACTCACAAAGATCCACTTGCCTCTGCCTCCTGAGTCCTGGGATTAAAGGTGTGCACTACCACAGCCCAGCTGATTTATTTTATGTGTGTAAGTGCTTTGCCTCCATGAATGTTTGTGCACCATGTACATGCAGCACCTGCAGAGGCCAGAAAAGGCATCAAATCCTCTGAAAAGAAACCAGAATGGATGTGAGCCACCATGTGGGTGCTGAGTTTCCAACCTGCAAGTGTTCTTACCCAATGAACCACCTCCCTAGCCCCTGCTGGTGTTTATTTTTAACCTAGGTAATTTAGCCAAGTCAAGTTCATGGTGAGCAATGATTTCTTAGAACTTACTCCTCTTGTCTCTTATCATGGAGACTTCTGGGATCTTTCTGAGGGGAGGGGTTTGTAAAAAAGGTCCCTTTATGTAGCCCAGGCCACCATACCTGTCATAACCATGCCTTCTTAACCTCTCCTAGTAATTTACAAACCTTATTTCATCCCTATTTTTAATGCCAACCCAAAATCTTGACAATCATTTAAACTTATACGTACCTATCAATGCCTAGGCACCTCAGCTATCTCTATATCTTTCTCTCCTCTTCTCCTTTGCTATATTATAAAACATTCTGAGCTAATTTGGAATTCCTAAAATACATTTTTCATATAACTCTCTTCTTGTTTAGACTTAGGTTTTGCTGGCTTCTTTGCATATCTTTCTGTGTGTGACCATTTTAAGAGGCACTGTCACCACCTGTGATCCAGGCTGAAACTGAACTGTATGACTGCCCCAGCCTCCCCAGTGCCAGAATTACAAACTTGAGCCACCACACACCTGACTCTGTGCACTTTCTGTATCCCATGGACGTATCTCTTTGTTTCAGATATATTTACTCAGCTAGTCAACAGACAATCACAAGAGGTCTTAGTGACTAACTTTATGGGTCCTTGCATATCTAAAAATATCACTGCTTTTTTCATTAGTGACAGTCTGGACAGAGTTCTCAGTTTTCAATCATTTCCCCCTCACACTTTAGAAGACACTGTTTGGCTACTGTTACTGACACAGCAATCTCTGGTAACGCAGCTCCAGACTTCCTTGATCTAATCAAACCTTTCCTGATTTATTTATAAACCCCAGTGCTACTTCTAGACTCCAACACAAGGACCAAGCCAAAGTTCTTTAAGCTGTCATCACTAGAGGCTGACAGCGCCTCCTAACTCAAAGAGGCTCACTCTAAAGATTTCTTTGTGCTTTCACAGGGTGACGTGCAGCAAGACATGGGGAGTATACCGGATTCTGAGCTGCAAAGTGAGATTATCTGGTGTGTTCTTAGACTCAATGTGTGTGTGTCTCAAAACTCACACATTGTGTAGGTTTGAGGCCCGAACCTACAACAGCCTGTGGAGGTAGAGATGGTGAGGGTGATTAAGGTGATACATGCTCATCTGGGGTCCCTGGAGTGGCTTCATGAAAAGAGAAACTTGCTCCACACCGCACCACATGGAGGATCGGTAAAAAGTGGCTCTCTGCACTAGAACACAACCATGCGAGCAACCACGATGTGAGACTGCAGCCCCCACAACTGCGAGAAGTAATGTCTGCTGTTTAAGCCCCCAATCTGGGGGCTTTATCCGTTTATTTATACATGCCAGTTCTTATGCGTCCCAGGTGGGCCTGCAGCTGGCTTTGTAGGTCCTCTTGCCCTCCTGTTTCTACCTTCTAGTGCTGGGGTTACAGCCATGCACCACCCAGCCTGGTTTTCAGTCTGTGGTATTTTGTTGCCAACAGCTTAGCTGACTAAGCCAAGTATCACAACCACATCTACAACCAAATGATTTCGGTACTTTTTTCCTCAGCAAAATGCTATGTGCAGATTAAATAAGTTTTTTGTCTTTATTGAGCAACTTAATTATAAATAATTGAATAGAACCAGCAATTAGCATAACGATACATTTCAGGTCAAAAGGGACACAAAGTGAAATCTATTAAGCAATTCACCACAGTCTGACTAAACCCTGACTCCCTTGAATGTGGTGGGCAGACACCACAGGGCTGACTAGAGAGAGTATCTGGACTTGGAGCTCCCCACAAATTGAGCCCAGGGGCTCCCATTGATTGCGCCTGCACTCAGAACCCCACACTGTGAGAAAGGCCATTAGGTCCAGGTAACAGTTCATCTAGAAGCACCTGCTTTACCCTGCTTGTGATGAAATGAAATACCAACTCCATCTTTTCATGTTCCAGGGGAGTCAGCCACTAAAGCCAGCCAATCATTTGCACACCGCAAGGCTGTAACGGTTCTCTCACCTTTTTGGGGTCCATGTTGAATTTCTTTCTTCCCATGGCTATTTGCTTGTTCCTCTGAGTAGTTTTGCTATTGGTTTTAAACAATTAAAAAAAAACCATTAGTGAGCACTTCCACAGAGTGCAGCAGAATCACACCCTCCTGTGCCTTTTCCATCTCAGGTCAACCTGAGACACAGAGACAACGGGGTCCAGCACAGCCCACCGCCCTCAGGAACTCTTCTTCAGAAACGGTAATGGTGGGAAGCAGTGCCTTTCTAAAAAAAAAAATTAAAAATACAGCCCCTCATGACACAGAAAGATTAATCCAGAGTCCCAACCCTATAAAGTTGGTGAGGACATAGGAGGCAGGGAGGAGGAATGAATAATTCCAAAGTCTCCCACTTCCCAGCCCCGCCCTTACAGCTATTGGTGAGCTCAGCTAGAGGGAAGAGGCAGGAATCAAAAGGGTAAGGAACCTGAAAGTACAGTGGTGAACACTTTACCTCTCCTCCACTGATGTTAAGTTATCGATCTCTGTCATCACTTCTGCAATTTCATATTTCAGCCTCTGTCAAAAAAAGAAAAAAGAAACTGGGTCATAGGGTATCTTAACTATCATACATTCAAAGGTTCAGAGACTCACATGAGCATCACAAGGCCAAAACTCAACACCTGTATCAGTGAGGTAGACTAAATGTCAGAGCAGCACAATGTGCACATGCACGCATGCACACACATGCACACACAAAAACAAATGTCCGCCTGTCATTAGACACATCAAGGGGGTCCACTAGGCAGGTTCTGAAGTACTTGTATGGAAATAATTAAGAAGGAAGTAAACTACAGAAGCATGTAGAAGCATGTAGTGGGTCCTCAGCTCACTCCACTGCAGTCACACAACTGGAGGTACGGGCAGCCTCATTCTCAGAGGAAGCTGAACCCCAGATATGTCTAGGTTGACACCAGGTTTGCCAATCAATAGTCTCATGACTGTCACTTCATAAGAGATGAAAGACAAAATCCCATGGGGCTAGAGAAATGGCTCGGAAGTTAAGAGCATGTACTACTCTTCCAGACAACCTAAGTTCAATTCCCAGCACATACGTCAGTCAGGTGGCTTACAACCCCCTTTTAGTCCGACTGCAGGGAATCCCACTCCTTTGTGGCACCTGCACTCGTGTGCATTTACCCACACACATACGCATAATTTAAAGTAATAATAAATATTTAAAGTGATAATTAGCTATGATTTTTTAAAAAAAAAAGAGAGAGCGAGAGAGATGAAGCCCCCAAGGACAGGCCCAACTCAGACACATCAGAAGCAAAGGGACAGAAACTGTTTACTCTCCACCGGCTGGATTCCCTGCCTCCCTGAGTCTCAGGCAGCATCCTTGGAGACAGGATGAAGTGGCCAGTGTTCAGGGAAGTGTTTATATTATTGAGCAGTATGATCACTACTGTCCAGATGATATCCATTCTCAATCCTTTAGACAAAGGACTTCTCTGGGTTGCAAGAATGCAAGCTAACCTTGAGCCAAAGCTGCCACCAATTACCTCTCAAGTACAACATTTTATTCAGAACCCTATTATGTGTGTGCCAACAAGTTCAAACTTAAACAAGTTCCTAGAAAGGAGCTATTGTCTAGGACAAGGCCTGCTCTACAGTCAGTGGCCTATGAGGTGACATTTACTTTGGCAATGACAATGACTAGGAAGCTTCTCAAACAAATGACCACACGACTGACTTTCCTGAGGAAGCTCCACACCAAAGGACCCAGGAGGCCTCTGAGCTGTCTCTGAAGCACCACAGTCATCCCAGCTCTGAAACTGTGGCTTCATTCATCTCCTCTCCTGTGGGACACCCCTCAGCCATGGCCTCTGAGTCAAGTACACAATGAGAGGAGGCAGTGTTTATCCATCTGTTTTATTCATCTTTGTCTAAATTTGTCATTCTGTTCCTACCACCACCAAGTAGGCCCTTAGTATACAGCTAGAATCATCCAATAAGTGCTTGTCTGTTCACTCAAAGGATACTGGACTGCCCAAAGGGCAGGCACCTATCTAAGTGCTTGGGTAAAGGGCAGCAGGTTTATCAGGCTGCTGCCACTGTCTACTCCAACACTTGTAACTCTGGGGTCACACAGTCATCTACTAGGAATGCTGGTCCCACCACTGTGGTCTCTGTTCCAGAGCTTGTGCTGTCTGGGATGGAGTCTTGGCCCCTCAGTCTGGAGAACTCCTGTCTCTGTCTCTATGGTTCTCACATTTCTCCTATTTTCTTGAAGCTACCCTATTCAGTATTCCACACAAACTCAAACTGGACACTTTGCTGTTGTTTTACCTCAATGTCATCAATAAGTTCCTTTTTCCTTCGACGAATGTCCAAAAGTTCTTCTCGTTCTTCTAATGACAGGTCTTCAGGCACTGGGGAGAGAGGGGGAGGTGTCAACAACGTCAGAGGAAAGCTGATGAGGCTGTGGACTGGCAGTGGGAAGCACCCTGACCTTCCCACCCCACCCCACCGAGACTGCCTGCTTCTCTAGAGGAAAACAGAAACTAAAGGACACTATCCACATCTGCGTACACCTCACTCCACCAAAAGGCTGGTTAGCCTGCCCAGAGTCTTACTAACAACCTTCCCCACCCATAGAGCCCTGATGAGAGGTTAATATGGTGGGGTACTTCCCTGTACCCTCATGTGTTGATCACTATAGACACTGGCCAACGGAGGCCTTCCTGCCCGACTCAGCTCTCAACTGTTTCTTAGCCTTTCACTCTCAAAGTGCTACATCTGTAACACATAAAACATGCACTGAACCAGACACACAAGAAAGGTCAAAGTGGTTACAGTGCGGGGAGTGAGAAACAGTGGGAAAACAGACTGATGCTGACCTCCCACTCAAGCCCCACCACAATCTTTAGAACTACAGACTTTCTTATGAATATCTAACTGATAGCATAAAAATGCGCGTCAGTCTCACTAGATTGGCTGGAGTGGGGGTGGGAGCAGGACGTGAAAAGCATAAAAGGGCACAGATACTCTGGGAAGCACTCAGGTACATCAGCAGCATCAAGGATGCACGTGCCACATCCAGCAGCTTTCTTTATATACAGTAGAAAAGCTTCCAGCAGGGCAGCAAGAAGCACAATAATGTTGAAGCAGCACATCTTATAGACTAAAAACAAAGATGTTAAATGTCATCCACAGCAGGATGAGTAAATGTGCTAGGATCTCACACAGAAGTGCGAGTGAGGAAACTGTGAGCAACAAACGGGTGACTTCAGGACATTAGTGGAGACATAAGACACATTTCCTTATGGACCACAAAAGCAAAAAATAAGCAATATGTTGTCTAGGTATTGTCTTAGTTTTGTACCTTGCCACCATGATAAAATACCCTGATGAACTCATATTATGGGAATAAGAGTGTATTTGGCCCACCATTCCAGTCCACTGCTAGAGGGATGCCATGGGAGATTGAACACACATCTGTGGTCAAGAGAAGAGAGCAATGAGTGTGTGAACCACAGCAGTACCCAGCCTGCTCTCTTCATTCACTAGGACCGGCCCAGAAAATGGGGCTGCCCACATTCACAGTAGGCCTTTCCCACCTCAGCCCAACAGAGAAAAATGACACATGGCCATAGCCACAAACCAACCTAATCTAGAAAATTCATCACCTAGACTTCTTTCCCAGGTGATTCTAGATTATGTCAAGTCGACAATTAAAACTAATCATCATGGGACTGGACAGATGGCTCAGCAGTTAAGAGCACTGGCTGCTCTTCCAGAGGACCTGGGTTCAATTCCCAGTACCCATATGGCAGCTATGTAACTCCAGTTTCAGGAAATCCAACATCCTCACATAGACATATACACAGAGAAAACCCAGTTCATATAAAGTAAAAATAACTTAAAAAAAGAAAAAAACCCTAACATCAAAGGCATTTAAACACGTCATAAAATAACCAGAACAATAAATGCAGTGTCCATAAAGAGCATGGCCTCTAGGGAGGGAAGAAAGCATGGAAGAAAGGTGAAAAGCAGAGAAGACGTAGTATTACTAATTTCCTTCTTCCTCTACTAGCTCTAAACCGAAACTGAATGACACCTTAGCAATGTTCTCGGGCAATCTTCTAAGCCACGGTATTACGAAGGAGAGAGCTACTAGACAGGGCTGTGAAACAACTGAACCCCTCAGACACCATGAAGACAGCCATTATTATCTCTATTTTATAACTGCAGCCAAGAGAGATTAAATGATTTTTCCCTAGAGAAGAGATACTGAAGACATAATGGGGCTGGAAAGATGGCTCCGTAGTTAAGAGCACTTGCTGCTCCATCAAGAGGCTCAGAGTTTGATGAACCCAGTACCCACAACAGGCAGTTCACAAGTCTCCATGACTCTGAATACAATAGGTTATATGCCCCTTCTAGAATCATTGGACAGATGAACACACACACAAATAAAATCTTTTTAAAAGAAATAATGCCCCAGAAAACCATGTGTATCCAGTAAACAACATGAACACACACATCCAGATGTTCAACATCAAGCACAAACAACTCAGATTTACAAGCTGTGCAGTATGCACTGGGTCAGACTAGGAGCTCCACGGGTCCCTAAAACCACCGTCTTCTGCTTTACAGAGTCCTTCTGCTTTACAGAGTGCCAGCTTCATCACAAAACTGGCTTCTACCCCATAGAGCTAAGGCTACATGCCTTCTCACCCCAGGATCCTCAAGCTTCCTCCCAGAAGGTCCTATAGGACATCTCCTTAACTCTCACTGGCCAAACCTGTCTCAGGTCCCAGTTCACACTAATCAGCAAAAGCAGAAGACATGCCTGACACATACAGCATTCAAAGATAAAATATAAAGGAAGTCAAGAATTCATATTGGAGAAAACCAGCAATGCCCAACACCCAGAAAGATGAAGCATAAGCAAGCATACACTTTTTGTCTCTTCAAAGTTATTACTCTTACCACAAACATCTACTCTAACAAAAAGAATATTTCTCAAAATAGCCAGCTTCCAGAGTGGTGTCAGCCTGATATCAGAGAAAATGTACTCCAGTCTGTCCACCAAACAGATCAGCCTCCTGAAATTAACTCTAAGTAAACCTTTCTTCTGCAGACTTCTGCAATATGCATGTACAAAACAGGGGTCTGGAAAGAGAGCTGTAGGCCTCAACCTTCTGCAAGACAGTTTTTCTAAAAACTTCTACCAAGTCTTCCTCCTCCCACTGGAGGACCAGAGGGCTGCCAAGAGTAAATAAAGATGAACGGAAACACCGGGATTATTTCCTTCTGATGATTCCAATGTTCCTTCAATTGGAAACATGCCATGGACTGCCTGAGTTTTTCTCTTCCTACAATGCCTGTCTTATCCTTTAAAGGTAATGAGGAACTAAACAATGAAGGGTTGCTCATTCACGTTACCAGGAATTCCAACCAAAACCTGCCTGTCTAAAAAAAGAGAGGAGCTGCCGAAATGGCCAGCATGAGTTTGATCCCCAGGACCCACAAGGTGGAAGGAGAGAACTGACTCTTGCAAGTTGTCCTCTGACCTCCACACACACACCATAGTGTGGCATGCACATGCATGCACACACACGAAATGTGATTTTAAAAAGGTAACTTGTGTCAGGTCTGATGATAGTGTTATAGTTACCTAGGAAATATCTTCATTTTCTAGAGATTCATACTCAAGTATTTTGGGGTACAAGGCTATTATATCTAAATTTTGCTCTGAAAGATTTCAGGAAAAAAAAGAACTGAGCAAACTAAAAACTATTGAATCTATTTGGTTGGTTATCAGTTCTACATTCTAAGTTTGACGTTTCTAGGCTGGGTGTCGTAGCATGAATTCTAATTGTTCTTAATAAAAACTCGGAGTCAGCTATCGGGGTGAAAGCTGAAGGATCAGAGAAGAATTGCGGCAGCCACTAGAGTTCTTACTTTTATCAGTGCACAGACCACAGGGGCGATCCTGTCCTCAGACTGCCTGCTTCAGACTGCTGCCTCGGACTCACTGAGCTCTTGTCTCCTCCCGCCTTATATTCCTCTCTCCGCCCAGCCATATCACTCCTGTCTCCACCTCCCTAGTGCTGGGATTAAGGGGATGTGACTCCTAAGTGCTGGGATCACCCTTGTGTGGGCTCTGTTTCTCTTTTAGACTGGATCAATTTTATGTAGCCCAGTGTGGCCTTGAACTAAGGGAGATCCCTCTGCCCCTGCCTCCTGAGTCCTGAGATTAAAGGTGTGCACTACCACTGCCTGGCCTCTAGTGGCTTAACTGCATTCTGATCTTCAGGCAAACTTTATTTGTTAAAACACAAACAAAATATCACCATATGCTGTGGGAACTCCTGTCAATGGCCTTCGAGATGCTGGACCACTTTGGGCATGGTCTTGGGGTACTATAAAAACATGTAGAAATGTGTGGTCTCTCTCAGCTGCTGGATTCCGTTCCTGTTCCCCACTCGTGCAGAGGACTGTTGATCCTTGAGTCTACCCCTAAAGAACCCTTTATTATACTCAATTCTCAGCTAGAGTGGGACGACTTTATTGCAGTCCTCTATAACCATAGGTGTGGCAGGGCAAGTTTTTACTCCTAGCACTTAGGAGGCAATAGCAAGTGGATCTTTGTAAGTTCAATACCAGCCTGGTTTTCATATCAAGTTCCATGCTAGCCAAGGCTACATGGTGAGACCCTGTGGGGGGGGGGGGAGAAGAAAAGGAAGGAAAAGAAAAAAATTAAAATTTCTCATGATTAAAAAAAGATCCCTCCTACTCCCAAAAAAACCACTTGGCCTTAAATGGTTAGTATCATCTCTTCTATAACATCTTTTGAAGGATTTGGCAGAAACAGGCCTGGGAAATAGCAGAGCACTCTTCTGCACTGACTAACAGGGTTGGAGTAGTGTTAACTCAGTGCACATGTTAACGCACAGGATAACAGAACATGGTAGACTATTCCTGGACCAATCTCTGCACTGCTTCTGTCACTTCTCCACCTTGCCGTGATGCCAGAGAAGGCCCCATCAACATCACCAGCAGAATCTCCCTACAGCCACAGGATCTGCGGACTCACAGCCATTTCACATGTAGAGTGAAACGCAGGCAATGCTCAGGGGAGGCTAACTATCCTTCCCCAGTAACACACAATCTTTAATATAGGGCTTGGACTCACATTCTGACATCTTGTACACGCTGTCACTTTGACTCTCTTGGCTTAGGTGACACTCTTGACAAAGATGTCATAATGAAAACTATTTCCTCCAACTTACAATAAAAAAAAAAGGCATAGCCTGGGAGTACACACCTTTACTGCCAAGACTGTAGAGGCAGAGGCAGGCAGATCTCTGTGCGTTCAATGCCAAACTAGCTACAGAAGGAATTCAAGGACAGCCAGGGTTCC